CTTCTGATTTTACTTCTGGCTTTATCGAAAAGCTGCTTCTTAACATTTTAAATGGCAAAGCTTTTCCATGTTTAAATAAGGAGTTTTTTAAGGTTTGGGGCTTAAAGAGTGAATTCTTTTGTTGTTTCCTTTCTGTGAGTTCAAGTTGCAGCAGGCTGAAAAGTTAGCTACTTCTCGCAAGCATGGGATGCTTCACTTCATTACAGCTAATGACCTTGCTTTGTGCTGAATGCCATTGATCCTGCATGTCATTATTTTGATGCACCAGAGCTCAGCCAGGCTGTGTCAGAGCTGTTGCTATGTTCAGTGATAGAAGTTCCCCACCTCAAATACAAGTAACGTGGTACCCAGCAGAATATTTAAGTGAAATGAGCTGTAAGCTGATGGTATTCAAAATGCATTCTGAAATTCTGAGTAAATTCTTTCTCAGATGGCCTTTTTAAAAGGACATGAAAGCATATGAAGTGCCTCTGCACGTAGGAAAGGTACTGAACAGCACCTACGATGAAGCTCCCAACTGCTGCCGCAGTGTCACTGCTCCTCTGGGAACAGCCTCTTCACATCTGGAAACCACCAGTTCTGCATGCAAATATTACCGTGTAGTTTCTTTTTTCTGCAGGTATGAACATTTGCTTGCTAAATGCTGGGTATTGCTCTGAGATTAGACTGATACCCTGCATTCAGTGGCTCTCTACCCTGTCATTATTGAGGCTGATGCAGAAGTGAGATCTTGGGATGTTCCCTTCACTTAAGAGGATCTGCCTGTGCTAAAGCGCACTGTACCAGTATTAAAGGTGGCATTTAGCATTTTGGGTGAACAGTGAGTGAGGCCATTTATAACCAGTTACACTGATGTGAATCTCTCCCAACAAATCTGCATCATCAAAACACCTTTGGAAAAATGTGTCATGCATATAATTAAATACCTGTTTTGCTAACTCCTGATTTAATTAATGCAAAGTAAAGGTGGCAGCACAGATTAATTTAGTTGGAAATGGCTTTTCTCTCAGTGGGCTGAAGGCAGGTTTTCTGGAAGCGTTGTACCAGGTGCCCTCAAAGCAGGCGGGTGAACTCCAAGTCTGATTGACACAGGCTTTTTGATAGTGATGGCAATGACATCCTCATAACAGTGCATATGCCTTACATCAGCCCACTTTTTTCCCCTTGCATGAGTAAGAGGGAGGCCAGCTGGAAGGCAGTTTCTTTGGCAGGACAGTGTAGCTACTTTTCAGTTTTACCCTGAGAGGTATTTGGTAGCAACCGCAGTAAATCCAGGTTCAGAAAGGTGAATGAAAAGAAATCCATATAACAGAACATCTTTCTATGTCTCCCCGTGGTTTTTCCTTCTGTACCTTGATCTCTTTCACTCAGTTGGTGCCCATGTTTCCCCTTGCCTTAGATACAGCTTTCCTGAAACTGCTCATCCACTTTAAATATTCATTCCTCTTAACTTCCTTTAAAGACTTCCTTTTAGACCATCTTCTTTTTGTTTGACCTCTTTCCTAACCTTGGCTATTCTTTTCTCAACCCCTTTGCCTTTTTGATCTGTTTCTCCCTGCTGCTTCATCTCTTTCCCTTTCCATCTTGCTCGGGATAAAACTGGAGCACAGACTGTTCACTGTAAAAGTACAGGTGAGTTGTCAGCCCGATATTATAGGAAGCAGAGAATCTGTTGTTGCTTCCTGGACACACATCTGAGCACCAAAAGAAATTAAAATAATCTTTCATATGTGAATGATGCTCCTTAGTGCTTTAGCAGTTTTTATTTCATCTTAAGTAAAAATAAATCGTAAATCACAGGCTGGTTTGGGTTGGAAGGGACCTTAAAGCTCATCCAGTTCCAACCCCCTGCTATGGGCAGGGACACCTTCCCCTAGAGCAGCTTGCTCCAAGCCCTGTCCAGCCTGGCCTTGAGCACTGCCAGGGATGGGCAGTATATATGCAACCGTGTATGCAAATATATGCAACTATAAATACATGTATGTAGGAAAATCATGCCGTGCACTACAGCATGAACTCCAGCTTGTCCTGCCACCTCTCTGCAATTTCAGGATTGGCTTTTTCCAGCTGATCTTTCCTTCAGGAGGGAAAACCATTATTTGTCAGGCAGGATTCTTTGAGCAAAGGGCTGGTGTGGATGGGAGTGGGCTCTGGGTGATAGGCAGGAGCATGCAGGTCTCCTGCAGCAGCACTGTCTGAGATGGGCTGCTCTGGGCTGATGGTGCTGCAGGAGGGGAGAATCCTGCAGGGAGAGCTGGGGATTGGGAAGGATTTATGGCTTGGAGCTCCCCATCATGCCTGCCTAGTGTTGGTGCACCAGTGAGGCTTCATGGGGTGACTTTCCCCTATACCCCGTAAGATGAGGCGAATGCAAGTGTGAAGCTGATTTTGTCTATCTTTGGTAGCCTAAACAGTTGTGGCTTCCTATCTAATGCTGACCTTTAGCATCATCCAGCTTTTGCAGTTGGAACCAGTGCATTTAACGGTGCCTTTTGTGTTCACTGACTGAAAAACGGCGTCTGTTCCACAGGAAACTTGTTTACACCTGCCACAATCCTCATCTTTGCTCTTCCTTTGCTCCTTTCACTGGAGCTGCAGCAGTTGAAGCTGCAGAATGTCCTCTCATTCCCCAGCATCCTCGGCGTGGGACGTGACTGCAGTAGAGCAGCTGGGGAGAGGATGCAGGGGGTGAGACCCACTTAGAAACCTTAGCCAGATGTGTACAGCTCAAGGAGGAGATGATACAATTCAGTTTTGGAAAGAGTCAAGTGCAGTGGGTTATTATTTCTACTTCTCTTTTTTTGGCTGTTCATTTGGGGGGTTACAGAACAGCTCTTGGAATACCTCCCTGCACGTACAGATGCAAGTCCTCTCTCCGTTACTCTTAGCCCTTGCTGCAGGGTTTACCAGGCTTGTGCTTTCAGCCCTTCTGCAGATGGTTACACAGTGGTCTCCTGAGGGGTTGGACATGTTCAGAGCCCTAAAACCATGGGTGGTTTTTTGGAGGTGACCCATGCAGTGCATGAGCCGGTGGGTTCATGCTGCAGCAGAAGAATGCGGGGAAGCCAGGGCAAGGGGAGGTGCTAGGACAGGAGGATTTGCAAAGCTGCTGTTCCAAGTGTTGTGCTCAGCCTGCTCTCTGGTGGTAGCTGCTGTAGCAGAGATGACCTTTGCTAAACCATGAAGCATTTGGTTTGAATGGGATACTCAGCTTCATACAGCTACAGTTTAGAGTTGTCAGCTCATCTGCTATTGCTTTTGTTCCCTTATCCCATGCAGGGTACACTGGTTGCAAATAATATCACAGCAGCTTTAAAGCCAACAAAGCTTGCTTCTTCCCAACAGCTCTCTCCAGTGCAGGTTCTCCAGTGTCTGATAAAGGTTGAGCTCTATCGCTCTTTTCTTTCAGACTGGGAAGACTAGTGGGAGGGCAGACAGAAGAGGCACCTGCTGGCATGAAACGTGGAAGAAATAAACAGCTTGGGGATCTTGAGTCAAATTTGGCTGAAAACAGACAGCAGGATCCAAAACTCTTGCTAGGATTGAGATACAGAGAAGCACTTAAAGACCATTTGATTGTGATCTCTTCTTACTGCCTCAGCTGGGCTGGAGCCTGCAGCATGCAGGGCAGGCAGAAGAGCTCCAGTGGAGGTAGAGCATCACTGCTGTGCTCTGGTCTGTGCTGGTGAATGTGGGGATTCTCCTGCTTTAGATCAGCTGATGCCAACATCCAAACTGTTTGTCTGGCTTTGTTGTGCGAAGCTGTTGTGATGAAGGAGGTGCTTGGTAAATCCTTCAAAGGAGGCAAGCCAGCCATGCTTATAGAGAGCCTGGGAGAGACTGTTGTGATGAATGCTTCTCTTCAGTCCTGAAAATAGCAGAGGAGTGTTTGCTGTCACAAGAGTGATGGAACAAAAGGAAGAATGGGAGAAATAGTTTTGGAGGTGGTTGTTGGGACCCTGTCCTGTGTTTGCTGACATCCCACTAGTAAAGGGTCAGTCCCATTCGTGTTTCCTAGGTAAACTGTCACCGTGATGGGTATGTTTTCCAGCAGTATTTGGTTGCTGTATTTCTTATCAGGATTTGTTTTCACGATACCTGAGGGATGTGACAGTCATGTGTGGTTTCGTTGTGCTGGAGACACACACCTTCAGGACTGAAGTGCCTGTAGGACATAGTATGCAGGTGTGACCATTTGCTGTTGAGGATGGGGCTTTTCTGTTGGACAAGACCTAATCAGGCAGCTTTGAGACTTCAGAACAAGCAGGCACCTTCATTTTCCGTCCCTTTGATAGCAGAAGTAGGACGTTGTTCCAGCATTTTATATAACTCTCTATTTCTTGTTGCTAGTAAAGTATTCATTTTGCCCAAAAGTATGTGCTGTGTCTTTGAATCCCAGTATTTATGACTGATGCTTAAAGGCAATTTAAGAAGATGCAGGGTTCTTTTTTCCCCATGTGAATTGCTGTGGTCTAGTCAAGACAACTTGTAGGAGCAACCACGTGGAAGTCTTGTCTTCCCACAATTAGAGGTTAAGAGTTGACAGCAAATGAGCCAGGAATTATAATTAAAAAAACCAGGGTAATTTGAACATGGTGAAAACCAGGGAATAAAGACTCGTGGTGGAATGCATGTTGTCAGTATTGGGTGCAAATAAGAGATAATGAATCTTGCAGTGAAAGATGTTTGGATTGTGTATATTTTGCTGAGCATGGGAGCAATTCCTCCTGTTCCATTGGAGCTCAGGGTTTTGTTCAGCTGGTATTGATGCTCTTTTGGAAAGCTTTTACCTCTCTGCTTTCTGAGGTCTGACATGGAAGAGAAAGGCTTCAATAGGCACTAGCAGCTCAGTGGGCCCTTTCTTTTCAGAGCATTGCTTGCTTTTCTCCATTCCCAATTAAAGTGTGTGTTAAACTTAGCTTTTGTTTGAAGCAGCAGGCGCTGTGGTATTCCATGTTAAAGGAATGTGCTCCTCACCTTTTCTCTCCCTTTTGCCGCAGGGTCAGCATTCTTCAGGGGAGGACATGGAAATCTCTGACGATGAGACCAACCCTGCACCCATCACCAGTGCAGAATGTGCCAAAACCATTGTGGTGAACTCCTCCGTCAGCAACACGGCTGTGATGGCCCCATCGATTCCTCCCATGCCACCACCAGGATTCCCTCCTCTTCCTCCTCCTCCTCCCCCACCTCCCCAGCCAGGCTTCCCGATGCCTCCGCCGCTGCCTCCACCACCTCCACCTACTCACCCTGCTGTCACTGTCCCCCCTCCACCACTCCCTGCCCCTCCTGGGGTCCCTCCACCTCATATCTTGCCTCCGCTTCCTCCGTTCCATCCTGGCATGTTCCCTGTCATGCAAGTGGATATGATAAGTGTCTTGGGTAACCAGTGGGGTGGCATGCCGATGTCCTTCCAGATGCAAACTCAGATGTTGAGCCGCATGATGCAGGCACAGAACACATACCAGTATCCGCCTTTCATGACGGGTCGGATGCAGTTTGTGAACCTTCCACCCTACCGCCCTTTCTCTATGGGAGCAGCTCTTGGTCGTGGTCAGCAGTGGCCACCACTGCCCAAGTTTGACCCTTCAGTTCCACCACCTGGTTATGAGCCGAAGAAGGAAGATCCCCACAAAGCCACTGTGGATGGAGTCCTCTTGGTCATAGTGAAGGAACTTAAGGCTATCATGAAAAGGGACCTGAACCGGAAGATGGTTGAAGTGGTAGCATTTCGGGCATTTGATGACTGGTGGGACAAGAAGGAACGTCTAGCAAAGGTAGGCTTGCACATACTGTCTGCTGGATCCCGAGGGAAACTGTTCTTAGTGCTTGTGGCACCTGCCTTGGGACAGTGTAACACTCTGGTATTAAACTTGGCATATTTCCATGGTGTCACTCCATATATGCAGGCATTTCATGGAGCTTTGCCATCAGAACAAACACAAGTGGGAATTTTAGTCATTTCCAGTCATAGGTGGAAGCACCCCATTGCAGAGTTATCTCTGAGCATGTGTGGAGTCACAACTGCTCACCTAGGAGTGAGCTGCTGCTCTGTCTCACACCATCCCGCTGATTGAATGTGGTCCCAAGGGAGAAATGTTCAGTTCTTGGTGTCATCCCTCTGCTTTGGGTTGATCTTCTCATCCCCTCCAGCTTTGGGGCCACTTTAGGGAAGGCCTTTATCTGCAAAGAACTAAGCACAGGGTCTTGGACACCATGCTCATCTTTGGTGGCGTGCTGCCCAACCCAGGGTGCATGGCTGCTCAGTTCATCCTGGCTGGATGCCGGCAGAAAGGGGTTTGCAGGAAGAAATTACCTCCAGATCAGGAGAAAAGTGTGCAAGGGCTTCTCACATCTAAGATGAAACTGTACTTCAGCTCCAAAAAAACTAAAGTCAGATGCAACAGGGGTGTTTGAAACCACCAAGCTGCTGTTTCGTGTTCTCCACTCTGTGATGAGATCTGTGGGTATTTCTAGTTCTCTGCACTCCTCCCACCTCCCCAGTCCATGTATACAGCAGCAGTTAACTAAAAAGCTGAATACTGGCCAAATCCATGAGGAGTTCCAGGGATTAGTTAAGAAAACAGTTCTGTGTGAGTTGTCTCATCCTTTCTCAGCCAATTTAAAGTGTACCTCAGCCAGGAAACAGCTTTGTGACCTAATATGTGATGAATGTGTCACTACCAAGAAACTCACACTATAGAAAGGTTCATGCAAACCTGAGAATTACTATTGCAGTGAATTCTTGTAAATAAAGCCCCAACAAACCAAACCTGCAGATGCATTTCCTGTTTCAGACGCCCGTTTTCAGGGCAGTGTTTCCATCACCTGCCGGTAGCACGTTAACTCCAGCGCCTGGGAGAGCTCCTTGGCTTTCCATTACCATTCCATTGGTAATGCTGCTGCTTAACAGCTGGTTTATGGCAGTGTAATTTGTTCTGGCTTGGAGCTGGCTGGGGTGACGTGTGCCAGGAAACCAGGTCCCTCTCTTCCTGACTCATGTTTGGAGCTTCTGTCTCCCACCAGCAAGTGTTTGCTGACCGTTCTGCAGGAGGCCCCTCGATTTCAAGGGCAGTGAGGGAAAAAGATCCAGCAAACGGTTGCAAAAGCAGTAACTGAAGTACCCAAGAAGTTGTTCTAAACCAGGTATCTGCAGTGGAGAAGCAGAAGCAAGCCTAGGCAAATCTTCAGTAGCTGCTCGGGCTCTTCATATACTGAGCTATGGCTGAATTTAGCATGTTCCTCCCTTCACCTGGAATCTGTAATCCACTTTGGGACAGGAAGTTGACTATACCACAGCAGCTTGCCACAGGTTATGTTGGACATGAGTAGTCTAATTGAACATATGAAATTACTGCATGGAAAACCACTTGTGCTTTCTGTCCAGGAACAGAAATGCCAGAGCTGTTGCTGCTTCAGGGCACTGCCTGGAGAGCAGGCAGTGTGCTGCTGGTGCATGCAGAAAAATGTCACGTATTTCAGAGCCTCCTTTCTGCTAGGGCTGGGCATCCCCTGACACTGGTGTGGGACAGGATTCCTTCTCAGTGACAGGCTGACTCCTAAACTGAACTTACCTTCCTGTTGCTGGTGTCTTTATGCACGTGTGAGGATGAGCCAGCTGGGCTCCTTGATGGCAGCTGTAGGTCAGTTCCCCATGTATTTTGCCACCAAATTAGTGTTCTAGAATAGACCAAGACTTCCAGGCACTGTCAGAACTGAAATGACCCTCTAAAACAGGCCCTGCATCCCCATTTCTTCCTTCCTAACAGTTTTAATTGGAGCTACTAATATTTTTCCTTACTGATTGATGGTAGTGAGAGAAATCACGTTACTTTCAGAGATTTGCAGTGTAAGTAAGACAACATACCTGCTTGTTTACATCTTTTTTTATTTTCTTTAGAAATAAATGAAGCACATTTATAGGGAGAGATAATATCTTTTAATATCTCCTATCCTTGGACCATCTAGCTGCAGTAGTCCTGTTATGTCACAGGAGAGATCAAAGCTCATCTTAGCACCTGAGCTCTGCTGTATGCCAGTTCCTACGCTAGGTCCCTGCAGGAGCACAGTAGGTCTCCCTGACCTTCCCAAGCATGACAGCAGGAAGCCTTGTGGGTGTCTTCTTATCTCCTGACTGCCCAACAATGTTCAAGTTCAGTAGGACAGCAGATATTACCTACTCAGTGCTGCCAGCAGCCCCTGAGCCACACAAGGAGGCAACACACTTGCCACCTCCCGTGCCTCAGTTTCTCTCTTTTCTCCCTGTGTTTTGGCTGCTGTATTCCATCAAAGGAATCAACTTGGGCAGCCGATTGCCTGCCAAGAAGTATCGTGCCATAGGTAAAAGATGGGAAAGCTCAAGGATAAAGCTGGTGTCCTAGGTCAGGCAGGATGGAAAACACGTGATGAAAGCTGCTCAGGAGCGTTTTGCTGGTGAAGGCTGCATGTACCGCAGACTGTCTGCCTGAGGAGGGCTTTTCTCTGTTCCCAATTCTAGTCATGGGTTTAAGTTTGAAAGCCTGGATAAGATGCATTAAGCAGAGTGCCAGGAATAACCTGCCATCTCTGGCATGGAGTGTTGCTGTTTGGATTCTTGATATTCCCACTAGTCTTGTCCCTTATTAGCAGGAGAGCTGAGCTCATGTTTTTTCTCTGGTGATAACAGCCAGCTTTGGCAAATGAGCTCTGTTAATGTCTGTTAAACTGACTTTTAGATGTTGTTACGCCACTGGCTGATGGGAGTGAAGGTTCCCTCTGGTACCCTTTGCTCAAAAAGAGTATGGCATGCCACTGGGCATCATGCTCTCCCCACCTCATCTGCCTCTTCACCGCTGCAGAGGTTTGAATTCCTGCTCTTCCTTCACACCTCAGGTCAGGTGAAAAGGGGTTTGATGTGGCTGAGCAGACATGATTTTCCTGTTTCTCAGGACTGGAACCTTCTGACAATCTTTGTGGACTTGTGCTGTGGTTGCCAAGTGAACACAGTGATGGGTGTGATTTCTGACTCGCTTATTTATATTGTGTCTTGTGCTGAAAAGAAGCAAGGTCTTCCCAGCTAGAAGGTCTGAAGTTGCTTTCAGCTATGTGGGTTAGTAAGTGAAGGTAGATAATACAGTGTTAGGCTGACTTGCCTAAAGCTGGTTGAGTTATCTGCAAGGTATACGTATAGCTCTATTTCTCACATAGCTGTGACCAGGCCAGATGGGCTTCTGCAGCATTTGGGAATACTGGTGTATTCCAGCTCCTAAGCTTCCCTTCAGAGTTTAGGATGTTTGTACAGTAGCTGCTTTTTTGGTACATAGTAGTTTGTGCCTGGGGGGGGAGGAATGTGTTCCCTTGGGCTGAGTTCTGGGTTCATGTTTGCACCTTTTCTTCCCCTTTCATCTTTCCTTTTAATGGCCTTTGCTTCCAGCATTGGATTCTGGCTGTTCAGAAAGTGGTCACTGTGGTCTCCACACCGGACACTTGAGAGACCTGAAATGAGCCATGGGGGGGCTAATGGGTCTGTTCATTTCCCTTGTTCTTTCTTGTGAAGGACTCTAGCCTATGTTAAGTTGCATGTGAAGTAAATGGAGATTGTTTCTTAAAACATTCAGTGGAGAAAGCAGGAGTGTCTGCTCCTTGCCAGTGTGGTGCTCCAAATGCAAGATCACTTAGTGTCCCATGCTAAGCCGCTGTTGTGGGAACCCCAGTAATCTTGCCTTAATCAGTTTTAGTACTTTGTGCAGAGCAAATAACTTCTTAAAATGCAAAGGGGAGGAGGCTTCTCAGAAATGGAAAGGTCTTGTTATCAAAGAGCTCTTGCACCTTCTCCCTTTCAAGTGTGTGTGGCCACGTAGTCCATGTTCAACTGCCCTTGCCTTCAGAGAAACTGATGGCAGGGCAAGGCAGAGACATGTCACAAACCTCAACATAGATGGTTTCCAGAGTCTGTGTGCTTCCCAGGGCATTTTCTACTTGAGCATGCTTTCTCTGTTGGCAGGCATCTCTCACTCCAGTGAAGTCTGGAGGAGAACTGGAGGAAAAACCAAAGCCGAAGGATCGAATCGCATCTTGTCTTTTGGAGAACTGGAACAAAGGAGAAGGCCTGGGATACGAGGGAATTGGCTTGGGCATTGGGCTACGAGGGGCCATCCGGCTGCCATCCTTCAAGGTAAAAGCAAAGATCTGTCTTCATTATGCTAGTATTCCCTTCCAGCCTTAATGTTTACATCTGCCCCTTGTGTGCATTGTCTGTAAAGGATCTCCCTGCTGCCCAGTGTAAATGAGGCATTTGGCTGTGTTTAGGACACAACATTTCAGCATGATTGTAAAATGTGCTTCTGCTTGTGCTGCTTTACACAGTTACTGATTTGCTTAGAAAGTTCTGCAGTTTGGCAGCTGAGTCTCACCTGAAGTTTGGTTAAAGGGGTTCTCTGCCCGTCTGAGTTCACAGAATCAGACCTGCAAGCACAGGGTTGCAAAGCATTTGCATAAACAGTGAAAAGCATCTTAAACAAAGTGTGGGTCAGAGGAGCGTAGCAGCCTTCCCTGGAGTTAGGCTTTTGAATGCACAGAAAGTGCAAGTGAAGGTTTGGGCTGAGGGATTCTGCAGCCTTTATTTAGAATAAAACTTGCTTTGAGCTTCCTTAAGATGCCATAGGCTTAGGTTCTCTTTCTGTTCTGCTGCATCTCAGACAAATGGATTTGTGGAGAGTTTTCTCTGTCATCTTCAAAGTGTGTGGTGATGACATGCACCGTGCTGGTACCCGGAGTGTTCTGATGCAAATTGAGGGGGTAGAATTTCATTCACAGTGAAATTCTGTTTGGAAGCAAATAAAGGGATCAAGAGCTAGAGAAGTGTCCCTTGGTTTCTGGTGTAAGTCACCACTGCAAAGTAAAGCAGTAGCAATTTGCTTAAGAAGTTGATTTCTGCTGTTCCTAAACTTTCAGAAATGCTAATTGTGTCTTTTGTTCAGGTGAAAAGAAAGGAGCCACCTGAAGCTGCCTCAGCAGGAGATCAGAAGAGAATCCGGCCTTCTACTTCTGTGGATGATGAAGATGAAGGTTTGCAAAGCACATTTGTTTAAAACACAAGAGCAGATGCAAACCACATGCAAGCTGAATGCTTTTAAACTTCACAGCAGTGTGCTCACTTACAGTCAGACACAGAGTCAAGGATCTGAGCCAGACCCCTGCTTCTCACAGACCTCTCATCAGCTGGGCACTGTCTCCTCTGGATTCAGTTATCTTAAATGCACTGGTGGGAAATTTAAGCCCTGCATTGTATGAATAACTCATAACCTAGTTTAGTTCTGGTGATGCAGAACTGGTCACCCAGTAGAGGGAGCTCAGGTGAGTTCACGGAGAAAGCACATGAGACAGTTTGCCCTGTGTTTGATTCTAGGAACAAATCAAAGTTATTTGCCAGAAAAATGTGTTTGAAAATATTTTAACTTTTTTTGCAGGTAAGAGACAAAGCTTTTGAATACCATTTGGTTTGCATTAAAAAGTAGATTCAAGTTAATTGTGCCATGAGGTCAATTCAGACTTAACTGGTTTTGAAGCCAAAGTACAGAAACAGGGTTTTGTAAAGCACTGAATACAAAAAGGCAGTAAGTTCGGCTTACTTGTCTGACCTCAGTCATGCCATGTCTCCTCACTGCTCTCTGCCTGTTGCTTGTCAGCTTTGACCACCTGCATTTTGCCGTCCTTGGCATTTCAACACCGTGTACCCAGTCTTGCCCTCATGCTGAGGGTTCACACAGCACATGGGAACATTGCTCCTAGCTTTGATTTCCCAAATAACACAGTTCTGTTATGTATTCGACACTTTTCCTACTTTACAAAGTATCTGATGGCAATTTATCTTGCTTTTGCTCATCAGAGTCGGAGAGGGACAGGGATGCCTCTGACACAACATCTGACCTGTCAAAGAAGGATGCAGAAGCAGTGGGGCTGAGGCGGCGACCAGCAAGGCCACTGGAGCTTGACAGCGAGGGAGAAGAGGGAGATGAGACATCAGAGAAAGAGGAAGAGTCCTCTTCAGAGAAGGAGGAGGAGCAGGAAGAAGAGGGAAGCTTGGTGAAAGCAGCACCTGGCAAGGTGTGTTCATTTGTGATTGCAGTTCTGAATGCTGTCTGTTATTAAAAGGGGGTTGGTAGTTCCAGATGCCAAAGTTACCTTCTTACCCACTAGGGTCTGTGCTGAGAGAACCTGAGTGAGGTGTTACTCACTCTTCAAATTCTCTAATCAGCATCCATGAGAGTCACTGGTAGTTATTACAGTGACAGCCAGGTCTCAGTCAGACACTGTTCATTTTTTGGCAATGCTTTCTTGCAAAGGAGGAAGAGGAGGATGATGAGGAGGATGAAGATGATGATGAGGATGAAGATGATGATGGTGATGATGATGAGGATGAAGATGAGGAGGAGGAGGAGACAGGCATAGACACAAGTGACAAGGAGGAGGAGCAAGACTCTGAGGAGGGTAAGTGGTTCCAGGGGAGGTAGCAGGCATTGCCTTTGGGTCATGTGTGGTTTCCCTTTGCACTTGTGAGCTGATTGTTTTTATTTGTGCACCTTCTTTCACTGAAGGCTGATTTTCCACAAGATAATGTATGCAGGTCCTTTTAGTTGCTGCCTGTGAGGCTTCCATGATCCCTCAGTCTGTGGGTCCCTTAGCAGTAGCTCTCCACACTCAGCCCAACTTGAGAGAGGAGCAGAGACCTTAGAGCCAGCCAAGTTTGTGCTTTATGAACCATATGTGGCTGGGAGGAGAAGGGACCAGACCTCAAACAGGGTAATTTAGCTGATAATAACTTTCTGTCCTCTGCTGTGGGAGATGGTAGGCCCCACATTTTAAAGCTGTGTGTGAAGGCAGCAGAAAAGCTTTTAGTACAAGTCCAGTAAAGATGCAACCCACCAAGAGACGCATGTGAGCAAGGTGCCAGGCAGCTCTGCCTTTGCAGCTGGTGGAGCTGCCTGTTGTATAATGATTGTTGTGAGCATCCAGGTACACAGTTTGTAAGTCTCTGCAAAACTACCTAAACTGGGAGGTGAGTCCTTCAAACCCACACGCTGTTATTGATGCTGCTTCCACGCTGTTACAGTGTGGAAGTGATATTTGCTCCTGTAGTAGACCCTGATTGTTTAATGAAGTCGGAAAGCAGAACTAATGGTGATTTGTTCTTGTTCTAGATGTAGCAAGTCCCTCATCTTCCAAGGCTGAAGTTGAATCATCCGATGAAAGCGAGGACTCCTCCGAATTTGAGTCAAGTTCAGACTCAGATGATGAAGATGAGGATGATGAAGACGAAGAGGAGGAGGAAGAGGAAGAAGAGGTGGCTGAAGATCAAGACAGAGAAGCCATGGTTGCTGAGACGGAGCATGAACCTGCTAGTCATGAGATTCCCGATGATGAGAGGGAGACTATTTTAGAGCTGTATCCCGTGGATGACTACATGGATGCAACAGGCTTGGGACTCGCAGAGCCAGCTTTGGCAGTGAAAGATGAAGGCATGGAAGAAATCAAAGCTGGGGAAGGTGAATGTGGTGAAGTCCCAGAGGCATCTATTGCTGCTGAAACACTGAAACACTTGGTTATGGAAAGAGACCAGGAGACAAAACTTGCTCTGTCTCCCATCTGTAGGCCAGGTATGCCTTTTCATGTAGTTCGGCGTTGTACACATTTCCAAGTACAGTATTCTCACAGCATCAAATATGTATGGGTTTGTATTTCCCTTCTCTTTCTCCAGTCTTAGCTCTAGGCTAGGGGTTATCTCTACAGGGAAGGACATCTGTGCTGAACTTTCCTTCCTAGTAAGGAGCGTTACACAAGTCATCAGCTACTAAAAATACTGTGGTTATTGTATCCAGAATCTTACCCTAAGCCAGTTTAGTTACTGTCCTACAAGAACTGAACAGTTGTCATCATTTGAGGGTGACTGATTGGATGGTGTGGTGGCTGAAGCTCAAGATAGAGAAGCCATGGCTGCTAAAACAGAGCAGGAATCTGTGCTTAATGAGCCACTACTGGCTCTTTTTGTGTTTAATACTGAAGCAGTGTATGACTGAGGAGCTGTATGGGGCAGGTGAGTGGGGTCTCAGTGTTGTATCTGGTTCCTCATACTATTATTTGTGTTTGTTTTTTTTTTTTACTTAGTCCTTTCAAGTGGTGCTCCCTGATTTTCTGGGAGAAGGAAGTTGTCTTCATTCAATACGGAGCTGTAGTTAACCTACAGAAATCAGAACAGGAGTGAGATGTGTAAAGTTTGTCAAATTCTGCAGCTATGGGGAATTAAAAAGCGAGAAAGTGGGGCCGAGAGGGAGAGCACATGGAGTGTGGCCTTCGGTGTGAGCCTTGGCAGGACTCGTGGCTGAGGACTGCTGGGGCAGTACTTTGCTTCTTGGAGAGCTGGAAATCCAGTCCCTGCACAGGCTGTCACTCCTTGGCTGCCCTAAAATCTGAAAGCCCTGAAGAGGCAAAATGTTGAACTGGGCAGGGCAGAATCTTCCTGCACAGATCCTTTCTGGAACACATCAGTGTGCAGAAAGGACATATAGTCAGGGAGACCTGCATTTGGGCACCAGCTCTTGTGGAATGAGCTTTACAGGGATGCTGTGAGAACAAGCTCTAACTACAGCATTCTTCTGGTGCAGCCCAGCCTGATTGTACAGGAGTTACAGGGACTGGACCCTTCTCTGGTTTGTTCAGCACAAACGGGGAACACTTCTCTTCCAACTATCCAGGCACTTTCACCTCCTTTTGCTCTCCCACTTGAAAGTGTTATTTTGAGCTGCCTAACAAGATTCACTGTTGATTCCTTTTGGACCTGGCCCTAAGTGGGTAAATAAACTCCAGACAAATGAGCCTGCTGCAGAGAGAGCAGCATATAAATTGCCTCATTGATACCATCTGAGTGTCTCCTCATTCATTACAAGGGCTTTCCATTCCCTTCATGTGTTGTTCAAGAGTGTTATGCTCCTCCCTTCACTGCTCCCTCCTTGGAGAGCTCAGGGTTCTTCATGGCCTTGCAATTAGTTTTCTTTCCCATATTAGAAAAGCTGATAGCTTGGGGCTCTGACAGCTCTTCTCCAAAGTCCTCACCCCACAATCCACTAAATCTTTTTATGTCTGTACAAAAGGTGGGCAGGGGTTTTGAAAGCAGAAAACCTTCGTTCTGGCCTGTGTTGTAGTTAATCCTCAAATTAATAGTGTGGTTTTTTTATGGTCCATTAGGAATGACTGTGGTAGCGTCTAATTACTCCACACTCTGTGCCTCCAAAAGGTAAAGCAGTGGGAGTTTTTAAAGCCTCCCAGCGGAATTGAGCTTTCTGTAATTGTGGCATCTTAAACATGCCTTTACTGGCAAGTGGTGAGAAACTGAATAGAAACAAAGTTCCTAATTCTCTTTTCCCCCTTTTAGAGGAAGAGTCCGAACCCGCTACCATGCTGGAGCCAGAGGTACAGGAAGGTCCAAAGCCTGACTCTCAAGATGAGGAGGCGGTGCTCTGTCTCTCAGCCCCAGTGGGAGTCTTTGGAGAGCCTCTGCCCAATAAAAGCAGCTTCTTTAGCAAGTCTGAGGACAGCAGCTTAGAAGCTCAGGTTAAAACAAAACTGCCCTCTGCAGCCGAGGAAGACGACCGGCTGCCTCGCACGCCTGGACTGGAGGTGATGGTCCATTCAGAGACTGATGCTCTTTTGCTTCCAGCCCACAAAGTGCCATCCTCCATGCTTCCCTTACCATCCACTCCTGGTAAGGAAGAACCTTTAGTCCCTCCAGAAAAGTTCCCTGAACACTTACTGGTGACCAAAACGTCCATAGAAGAGGAGATTCCAAGGACTCCTGGGCGGGACATTTTGGTCAAGTCTTCACACCCCTTTGCAAAGTCGCAGAGCACGGACACTGTTCCAGCCACACCAGGCAGCGATGCTCCCCTTACAGGAAGCAGTTTGACCCTCAGTTCCCCTCAAGTCCCAGGGAGCCCCTTTTCCTACCCATCCCAATCACCTGGCATCAACAGTGGCATTCCTCGGACTCCTGGGAGAGATTTCAGTTTCACGCCTACTTTCCCAGAGGCTGGTGCTACCATTTCTTGCTTTCTGTCTGGCAAGAAACAGTCAGAGGATGACGTCGATGAGAAACCCTTTAAAGAGCCTCTTGGTGCTTCCCTTACGATCAGCATGAACAGTGTTCCTTCCCCGATCCCCTTCGCCAGCCCCCCACAAGCAGATTTCCACATGGACATAGGTTTGCCACCTGATGAGCCAATACCTGTAGCAGTCCTGCCATGCATGCATGGAGATGGAAGAATGCCCATTGAGGAATGCAAGGCAGAAGTGAAATCTGTTTTGCTCTCGTCAGAAGTACCCCCTGGTGCTTCTGTTCTTCCTCCCCCACCACCTCCTTCTGTCCTTCCCAAAAGGAGGCCAGGCCGACCAAAACGGTCACCACCTTCTGTCCTCTCATTGGATATGTACTCGGGCAAAACCATAGAACCTCCTCCTATGCCAGTGGCCTTGGTGGAAAGTGCTGTGGGCAAAGAGCTGCTGAGTGGACATCCTGATGCTTTCTATGGACTAAAAGACCCTGAAGCCGTCACCCTGGACTTCAGGAATGACGGTTTCCATGAGAAAATTGCAGCTGAGACAGTTGCAGAGAAACTGCCATTTAAGGAACTGGAGAACCAGTGGAATGAAGACTTCAAGGAGGAAGAAGCTCATGCAAAACCTAAACGGCAGTGGCGAAGGCAGAAGAAGTCACCTGAGCACCTCCCAGCGATTCCTTCCCCTGAGTATTCCCCACCCCGGCCTCAGTTCAGGCCACGCTCCGAGTTTGAGGAGATGACCATTTTGTATGATATTTGGAACGGAGGCATAGATGAGGAAGATATCAAATTCATGTGTATCACATATGACCGCTTGTTACAGCAGGACAATGGTATGGACTGGCTCAATGACACCCTGTGGGTATTCCATCCCTATATCCTTTCTCACTGGTGCTCTGCATTACACAGCACATGTAACATGCACTAGAGGGTCTTACAATGCAAAAAACTTAAGTTTGGTGGAAGAGAGCATTTGCTTACTCAAATAGGAATTGCTTGCATCAGCAGGGAATTCTAGACTGCTTTATTCCCTGAAGCTGCAATACAAAAATACTGCAGAAATGGCTGTTCCTGCTGCATTTCAGTCTAAGACTGCAGGGAAAATCTGTATGCCCCTCTTCTGGGGAGGCTTCCTTGCTAGTTTGGGAAGCTTCTGTCTGCATTTAAACCAGACTTTTTCAGCTTGCCTGTGGAATTTCGAGTGTGCACATACAGGGCTTTAACCTGGGGCTAAAACTTGCTGTAAAAATAATCTTGCCATCTGTGCCCAAAACGATGAGCTGTGGTACTAGCAGCTTTAACTCTTTGAGTTTGAAATACTAATAAGAGCACTGGTTTCTCAGCAGCACATCAGGGACAGACACAGCCCTGGGCTAAGTGGGGAATGTACTGGGGCTGCTGCAGCAAGTATGTGGGGCCCTGCTTGGTGTTAATGAGGCAGGATCTGGCCCCATCCGCTCCCTCCCTGCCCATCAGCTGGTAATCAACAGCATAGGCTGTAGCTTTGAATCTTTGGGAGCATTTTTGGGACACAAAAGCTGTCTCAGAACAAGGTTCTGCATGTGTACAGCCACCAGTAGAGATGTCCAGTGCCTAAAAGGCTGTTCCTGTAATCTAGGAACCTAGTAACGTTTGTATACTCTAGGGACTAGTAATGTTTATGATCTAGGAATGCAGTAATGTTTTTAGGAAGGATATACAGGTTTATATGTTAAAGAAGACAAATGCACCACCTTGTGTGTTGCTGGAGATTGTGTGGAGTTAAAATATCTCATCCCTTACCTCCTGCAAGGCACAAGACTTGATCTTAAAGGTCTTTTCCAGACTACCTGACTGTGATTCTATGAAAAGCCCAAACCACTCAGTCAGTGATATGATGCTAGCACTAAAAAACCTCTCAAAAGGGCAACATGAAAGATTAAATTTACAGTTTTCTTTCTACCAATGCAATAGCTTTGAAACAGATTTATGTAATTGTTTAAAGGAAATACTTTTAAAGGATGATGAAAAATGTCATCCCTGGTAATTCTCAGTCTGTGTCTGCCCCAGCTCCAATCTTCTGGTGTTCAGGGTAGGTTACGACTCACAGGGAGTATTTTTTATGTAGAACTCACTTGTGGTAGGGTTCATGGCTGTGTTTTGGGGTTAGCTGACACTGTCCTTCCAGAAGCCAAAGACCTTCTGCCTGCTCAGTGCAGTGGCTCTTTGCCAGGCCAGCTGCAGGTTTCCTTTACTGATCAGGTCAGTGGGGTTTGAAGCATCTGCTCAGGGGCTTACCCTTCCCAACTGGTCTGAAGGAGCTGATGTAGTAAGGCCGGTGAGAGCAGCATCTCTCTGCCTGTCCTTTGGGTTGAGGAGCATCTGGTCTTAGTGGGGGAGATTGCTGCTGTGAGATCAGTGAAGTGTCTTCAGGGCTTGGGGTGGCTGCAGGGAGTTTCTGGAGGTAGAACAAAAGCATGTCACTCAGAACAGAGAAGACGGTACATCCAGATGGCTGGGCAGCTGCTGTCTGTGTACATAACGGGTGCTGTGGGGAAATCCTTTCTCAAACAGGTTTCTCTTGACAGCTTAACCTTTTAGAGTTTAAATTTTCATTATCTCTTTACTTTAGTTTCCCAAATCACACAGCTAAGAAGGAAAGACCGTTCTTGGTTAGCCTGTGGGCATGTAGGCTTCAGTGATGATTGTGACTTTTCAATAGGATTGGGGTTCTTTTGCAACCCTTCCCAAACCTTCCTAGTTTCCCAGGCTCCCGGCGTTAGCTCCATGTACCTGTAGCAAGTTTTGCCTGATGTCCACTGCTGGCTGTGTTTCTCCTTAACTTCTTCCCACCTACTAGCTTTTCTACCCCCAAGAAAAAGAAGCGGGATGATGGGATGCGGGAGCATGTCACGGGCTGTGCGCGGAGTGAAGGCTATTACAAAATTGATAAGAAGGACAAACTCAAATACCTCAACAATAGCCGAGCTTTTGCAGAGGAGCCTCCAGCTGACACACAGGTGAGAACATGTCCTGTGCTGACTGCCAACGTGCAAATGGGATTTGGTTTTATACGGTGTCACTCACAGTGGATGCTTCCTGCCTTTTGGCAAGGAGGGGGGCGAAGCTGTTGCTACGCCTGTGTCAAGTCGGTCATCCAGGAGCTGCTGGGGAGGTGTTAGTGTTTGATGTGGGATGTTTTAGGAGGCCACACATTCTGCAGTAGTGTGTTGTAGCACAAAGGATTGCTCACAGGGAGGCTGCAGGGTGTTGGGTCTGTGGAGCAGCTTTGATCACCCATTTGTCCTCTCAGGGTATGAGCATCCCTGCTCAACCTCATGCTTCTACGCGGGCTGGCTCCGAGAGGCGGTCAGAGCAGCGCAGGCTCCTCTCCTCCTTCACTGGTAGCTGTGACAGTGACCTGCTCAAGTTCAACCAGCTCAAGGTAGGTCACTCATGGATTGCTGCTTTGGGCAGGGTCTGGTTGGGAGCAGGCTGAGGCCAGGGCACAGGACCTCCTGTCAGGTTGTCTCACCTCAGTGATGCCCATCTCAGCATTGGGCACTGCTCTGTGTGACGGAGGATTGACTGGTGTATCTGTATTTGATGTAATACGACTTGATACAACAATACAACCTAATATAATGTGCAACACAAATAATTCACCTAAAGAAATAGGGACAGGGCAGTTACAGGGAAAACATGACAGTACAGTATGCTTACTTATGAGAAGCAGAGATTATGGCTATAAATGAGTATATGATGATTACAGAGCTTGAGCCATCAGGGTTATGCAGAACTGAGACCGATGGCCTCAGAGGATCTGATCTCCCCATAGTGTGGTTGGTGGTAAAAAAACCTCAAGCAGTGCAACTTCGTGGGCCCTCCCATGACATCTGTCCTGCCTTGTCACCACGAGATAGAAGGAAACTAAAATCAGGTTGACGTATCCCAGTGCTCCTTGTGCTGCAGATGCTGGACCTTGGGACAGTCTTTCCCTTTTTGTGCTGTGCCTAACTCGGGGTTTGGGTTTTGGGGTGTTTTCTTCATGCAGTTCCGGAAGAAAAAGCTAAAATTCTGTAAGAGCCACATCCATGACTGGGGCCTTTTTGCTATGGAGCCCATTGCAGCTGATGAGATGGTGATTGAATACGTGGGGCAGAACATCAGGCAGGTAAGCTGGACTGTGGGTGAAACCTGAGCAAAAACCAGCCTTGAGAGAAGTGCTCGAGTATGACACAGGGGTTGGAGTCCCTGCTCTAAGGCGCTAGCTACATCATGTAGGCAGAGGTTGGCATTTGGCTTGGAGGTACAAATGTGGGATTTTCAGCAACCCATAAAAACTAAGCACTCAAATCCTGAGGAGCTAAACCCATCCTTAGCTTCTGTTTTCAGTTAGGTTTGTGTTCTCTTGAGGCATTTGGGGTCGTATATCTGTTGAGTGACACAAGCACAGCGTTGTATAGGTCTCTGTTCATGGATTGCTTCTGCAACGTGTCCTGACCCATGGGGTTTTCTTTAGGTCATTGCTGACATGCGTGAAAAGCGATATGAGGATGAAGGCATCGGGAGCAGTTACATGTTCCGAGTGGATCATGACACCATCATCGATGCCACGAAGTGTGGAAACTTCGCCAGGTTCATTAATCACAGCTGCAATGTAAGTACCAGGGGTTTGCATAGAACTGTGCTCTGCCATCCTGAGAAACCCATTGAGTCCTTGCTGACTTTGACTGGGACTGTGTTCAGAAGTAGCAGGGGGTCACAGGGTTGTGATTAAATGTCAGTGAGCTGCAGCAAATCAAAGCAGAGTTTAAATCAGCGTAAAGAGATTTATGAGACACAAGAAATAAAACATGCAGCAAGACAAAGAGCACTCAGGATCCTCCTGACTGTGCTGGGGGACCCTGATGGACACTGTTCAAACCTCTCTAACAAATACTTCTTTAAACTGAATTTTAGCATTGTTATTCAGAGGGAGCAGTCTCCTTCTAGTGTCCAGACTGGAAAAATGTTTTCTGCACTGGCAGTTAGAGAAGCTGCTTTCTTGTCTGCTCTGTGTTGCAGCCTGCACTCAAAGGCTTGGTGGCCTGAGCAAATGATTAAGCATTAGTTGAGCTGCTCTTAGCCTGTGACAAACTTGGTGGAACATCATCCAGGCTCTTCTGCACCACAGATGACCAGAATATGGCATTTTGGGGGAGGTCTATTTTCTGGCTTCATGCCTTCCTCTCTCAGCTTTCCCTGGGTCTGCACTCTGCAAACATGACTGAGGCTATATAAGGAAAGGACTGCCCTGTTTTATTTTAGCTTGGAATAATTGTGGAGGCTGGGAAGCTACGGCCATCAGGAACCTAAATCATTACCTGTTCTGTCACCCTTGCAGCCAAATTGCTATGCTAAAGTGATCACGGTGGAGTCTCAAAAGAAGATTGTCATCTACTCCAAACAGCACATCAATGTGAATGAGGAAATTACCTATGACTACAAGTTTCCAATTGAGGATGTAAAAATCCCATGTCTCTGTGGCTCTGAGAACTGCAGGGGAACCCTGAACTGAACTCAAGGTTTCTCATCACACTTGCACCTTCGGCCATGTCAGAACTGTGGTAACCAGGTGTGGTTGCACTTTGCCAAATAAAAAAGGAAAAACAAAACAAAAAAAAACAGTAAAAAAAAGGAACAAAAAATTAAAAAGGAAAAAAAAAATAAAAAAAGAGAGGAAAAAAAAGAGAAGAAAAACCCCAAGTTTCGCACTTCTGCCAGGATCATGAATGACAGCAAAAGCGCACACGCTTACGAGGACTGTTCATGTTTCAGGTGCTCTTTCCTTTTCAGATCCTACGCGCACACAAAAAGGTGATAACCATTTTGTGGCATGGTCTATCCAAACACTAGCTTCTCTGTTCAGTCCCTACAGTAATGCTCCAGAATGGAATAATGGTACCTTGTTCTTTTTTTTCAATTGTTGTTCTAAACCTTCATCTTTTCATCAATGCTGCTACCTTTTTCTCATCAGTTCTGTTGGTTGAAAAAGACATTCAACGTTTAAATGTGAAGCAGAGACTGAAAATGCCATATAGGGTTTGTTGGGAGCTTGATTGGCTGAAATTGCACAGATTTCTCAGAGTAAGCTGTAAATAAATGTAAGGTTGATGTTACAGAGCAAGCCAGAGGCTTGAGGGGGTGTGAATGGGGCTGCGTGTGTGTGTGATCAGGTGTGTGTATGTACGGAGATGTGTCTGCAGCCAGACTCCAGGTGAACTGTCCTGCCTTGTCGTTAGGGATGAGCCTGAACAAGTCCCCGTAAGCCAGACACCTGGGAAAGAGCCAGGTCAGCCGCAGACCTCAACGCCTTGGGCTTGTCTCTAATTTTCATATACCGTGCTGGTATATTGGGGGATCAAAACCTCTGCACCTGTACGTGGAAAAAATACTTGGATACCACAATGACTAGTAAGGAGTCGAGTCAGTTGTGTCGCTGTAGCATTGTGGCATGGTGTGTGGCCTTTGGGGATGCCTGGTTCTTGGAGACCGCTTTGTCTTGCATGCAAAAAAGGCTGAAGCTGAGATTAAGTGGACAATTCAGCCCATGTTTGCACTGTAGGGCTCTTAACCTCCTTGGAAGCATATACTATGGCCCACGTTTTTGATAGGATTTCATTCCTTTAGATGGGAAACAGGCTGATGTGTGTCTTGTATTAATTTTCTCTCATTTTTGTCTGCATTTCCCTGCCCTTTCAGCTTGTACGTGGAGTATTTGCTCTGTCCTTGAATATGGGAAATGCCTCCTGTGATAGGAACAAGCTGCACAGCGTTGCTCTCCTCCCTCTGTTACTCAGTAACTTGGCTTGGGGTGGTCCTGTCTCTCCAATAAGACCACAGTAAAAGTGTCCCTGGGAGCAATCCTGTCCTCCCCCATCTACAGCATGAAAATGAATGCTGCTTTAAATTGGGAAGGCATGTTTTGAAACGATGTTTTGATATATTTTGTCCTTGTAGATGTGCTGAGGTGAAGGCTGCAGCTCTTTGAGCAAAGCACCAAAGAAATACTTTTTTGGATGTGATCTGGAAATGTTAAATGACCATTCAGGTATAGACAAGATCATTTTTCAACTTGCATTGAACTTCTCCTGCTTTAAAAGTAGAGATTAGTTGTACCTAAACCCTTTCCAATTGGCTTCTAAGGGGAGGTTGCAATGTCATTATGAAATGGGAAGATGATCTGTGTAATGAAACATCTCCCCAACAGAACAAATTGCACAGCTGTGTTCTTGTAGCCTTTCAAAATCAGGGATAATTGCTCTGTCACCACAGCTTCACAATCAGAGGTTACCACCTTGCAGAAGCGTTTCCTGGGAGGTTTTCCAGCTGTTACATGGAGCTACCAGGCCCACACTGTACTTCTTCAGACAAAAAGCCAGAAAGAATAGGAGCACACAGACTGCTAGGAGCTGCCTTAATACTGCCTGTATTTCTGTCTGAGGTGAGGAGGTGGTTGTTGAGATTGGAGAGCCCATAGTGTCTCATCTCTTGGTTTTGGTTTTTTTGTTGTTTCCCCCCCCAGCCCCAACTTTATAAACCTCTCCAACAGTTGGGTAACAGTGACCCAGAACCTGAAACGATGAGAAGCACAACTAGTTTCTGTCACTGAACATTGGTTGTAACTGCAGCGACGGCAGGAGCATTTGGGAGCTAAACCTGCTGCTCGGTTTTGTTGTATTCTTTGGTTAAGTCAGGTTCATCTTGTGTTGATGCTCCAGCTGGCAGCTCTGCAGCTTGGCCTTTTACTTTCAAAGCTTTGGAAATGCACAGAAGTTTCCTCTTTCTCAGAACTGAAGCCCCTGTGTGTGGCAGTTCTGCCGATGTCCTTGGCCTTCTTCCTTTCTGGTCCCTCAGACCAGTGCATTAACGGTGGTTTTGTGGGGACAAAGACACCCCAAATGGCTCAGCCCCATAGTACCCATTGACAGTGTTGCATTTCCCAGCATATCAGTGTGCTCTGGATGGGATTAGCCCCTGTGGTTTGCCTTAGTCTTTGTTGCGGAGAGGTGGGAAGGAGGCAGGTCACGGTCTTCTGAAACAAGGCCTGCAGGTTGGGGTTCTTCACTGCATTTTTAGGGTGCCAAAGGGATTTGGGTACCTAAATCACTTGGGTACTTCTAAAATTGCCTGTAACCCATCTGGTTTTAGGATCCCAGACAAACAACGTGAGCTTTTGGAAGAGCCGAGCTCCCAGTAGTTTCCCAGTAGGAAGCAGAGCTGTTGGACTTCTGAAAAATCACGTTAGTTTGGTCTCAAAGACAAACCTGAGGCTTTTCTCCCCCATAAATCTTGGCTTGCAGAGTCCTACCTGTGCAGCTCTTGTCTCAGACGCCAAAACTGCCCCATTCCCAAACCACATTATCTTACAGTGAGGATTCTATGTGTGGTTGAGTGATTTCCATGAGCTTTTGCAGTTGCCTATGGCTGCCCTGTCCCGGCACGCTGGTGGGGTCTCATCAGGACAGGGGAGCCCTGCAGCCACGGACGTGGTTTTGGAAGGCAGCCCCATAGAGTTACCTCCCTAATCCCTCCTGGGCCCTTTGGCTTGTACTTAGAAAGGGGTGAGATGAGGGAAAGGCAGTAGGTGTGCGATTCACACCCCAGCCTGGATCAGACGCAGTGTTTGTCTCCCTAGTCAGCACAGGCACCCCATGGAAATAGTGGCAAGGACTAAAAAGAAACCTCACCAGCATGTGCTGCTTTACAGAGAGATTTACTGAAGTTGTTTTGGTTGCTGGAAAGCCTGTCCCCATTTTATTTTCACCTAAATTGAAACCTAAGGCCAAAAAGATACCTTATGCTCCCTGCAGATTTCTGTCTCCCCAGGTGAAATGACCCAAGAGAACAGTGCAAAAGCTTTGGAATGAGAGCTTAAACCTTTAGTTTCCCAGCGTAAAGCTGGCTGGGGTTCAGGGTGCAGATGCCTCCACGGTTGGAGTTCCTAGGAAGTGAGCTCTGTGCTTGCAGGTCCTGCCTGCTGTTGCCCAACACCTTTGTTTATCCATTTGGTTCTCCCCCCCGTTTGCAATTCCAGGTTGGTCCCAAGAAGTGGCCTGTGACTGTTGGGGGGGCCAGCAGGGGAAGGGGCTCACCTTGCAGATATTTATATTGTATAGAGCAGCTTATTTCTACAAGGAAAAACAAAACCATTTTTAAACTCCAACAAACAGTACTTTCAGTTCCGGTTTTTTTGACCTTTTTCAGGGATCATTTCAGTGCATTTCTGTATAAAATAAAAATTTAAGGAAAAAAAGGATTTTGAAGTATCAAAAAGAAAAAAAAGCATCTTCTGTACATAGGCAAAGTCAAGAATCTTCTCTTCAGACACTGTTTCTTGTAGAAACATGTTGAAAATTTTTTTGCTGATTTCTTTGTACTTCAAGAGCATGTAAATAATTTATTAAAAGTGACTATTGTAATTTGGAGTTCTTTTTAAACAGATCCCAGCTCTAAATCATGCCGAGGAGACGGGGAGGAGGAAGGACTTCAGTATAGCAAAGGAGCTGGTGGCATTTACAGCTTGTGTCAAGCTTTGTATAATGTAAATTCTGTATAAATACGGGGTTTTTTTGTCAAATAAATAGATGGAATTCGAAGCATTAAGAAACTGAAGACAAAAAAAATTGCCAAGTCAAGGCTTCTTCTTTGCCCTCCCCTCCGTCTGAAACCTAATGTGCAAAATCTATTTATTTCAAGCGAGGAAATGTGTACAGTCTAATAGACAACCTAAAGCGTATTTAAGCGAGTTTGCAACTGGATTGTTTTCAAGTTAATATTTGTGTTTTGTTTTCCTGAGTTTCCTCCTTAATTGCCACTGTAGTATTTGTCCAAGCGAAACGAAACCCAGCGGAACGGGCACTCTAAACCCAATGGGCAGTTGTAAGAGCGAAGTGGAAAAGAACAACCCCCGCTCCCAATCGTTGCAGTTGTCCGGTTGGTTCAATTCACAGTGTGAAAATAAGGGCCCTCCTTTAAAAGGAGGTAAGTCAAATGGTTTGCAATAAATGGAAATCAAATCCTTTTTGTTCTTTTTAAGTTCCTTTAAAACACAAAAAGAAAAGAAACCCCAACTCTGCTTTGAAGATTTAGGATTTCTGCTTTTTCTTTCGTTAAGCCAGTTTATAAATTTAGGAATGTTTTGTGCATATAGAATCTGTCACCAGTATGTATCTTGTTTTGAAGAAAGTGTTTTTGTTGTGGATGTGTCATGCTGTATATATTTGTTCATATTTTTGTGAATTGAATACTATGTACCATTGTATTATAGTAACTTTTATAAAGGAAACCATAAATATACTGACTTTTCTTACAGAAAAATTATGTTGTGCTTAATGTACAGCCAGGGCTTCTCTTTGCTCTCAGACCCATGCTGCAACCGGGTGAGCAAAAGGAACCAAATCCAGAAAGAGAGCAGTCCAAAGAGCTGAGTATCAGCAAAGTTAACTGAAGGTATCAATTCTGGTGAGCAGGAAATGACAGATTACTTTGAGCAACATTCTACTGCATGAAAGAAATATGTGAGTGATTTAAGTTTATAAACTTAAAATTGTCTTAGTATTAAACATTCTTAAACCCTCAAGAGCTGAAGCCCCTGCCCCTGTGCTGGGTGTCCCTGTCCCATCGGCCCTCAGTGGTGCAGCCCAGGCCTGTGAGGGATCTCTGCTCCTGCAGCCTCTGCCCTGGATTTCTCTGAGTTCACCTTTTCTTAATCCCTGTTTTAACTTTATGGAGGAGAAAGCTCTTAACCTACCAAGCAGGTGTTGGTGTAGCTGGTTTGGGTCAGAGGCCCTTTGGTTTCTTTGGTTTAAATCAGTTTATTCACACCTAAAGTGAATCCTGTTACCTGCGGTTTGCAGGAGGGGGAACCACTGGGGTCTGATGTGGATGAAAGCACAGCCTAGAGCTGCCATGTGACCTCCTCCCTCACTGGGAGGTGCTGCTGTGAACATGGCGGTGGCCAAAGTGGCTTCGCTGAGCTTTAGAAGACACCCAGAGCAGATGCTATGGCTGATGGAGGAGGGAGTGAAAGAGACAGGAGAGAACTTGGGCTGTAGGTGACTTCCCAGCTTGGTTCTTGGTTTCTGTCACTGGCTACTGTGTTGGAAGGGATGCGGATGCAGGACAACCTGTGTGGGGCAGGAGACAGCAGGGCTCAGCCTGGAGGGTGGCTGGATGGAGCTGGTCTAAGGAGCCTTGTCCTGAGCCAAGGGCTTGGCAGGGCCTTTGGCTACTCAAGGTTTGAGCAGCTCCGATACTGGGTAACGGGTACAGGGAGGCTGTGAAGGGAGACGTGCACATTAGGAGACCCTGAAAAGTTCTTCAGCTGTTGTGGGCTGAGGTCTGTGGGGTCCTCAGGGAGCACTTGACCTGCAGCCACATGAACATGGGGTAGAGGCTCCAGCCTGACACGTGTGAGGTATGAGGAACTCAAGCTGTGACAGAAAAGGGTTTAATCATGTGACTGGGGAAGGTCCCCTTTCAAAGGACAGTGACACCAGAGCGATGCGCAGAGGAAGCTTTGCACGTGCAACCAGGATCTGAGCCAAGGAATCCATGCCGATGCCAGCAATTCCTTCTTGGAACACAGGAGAAAACCCAACCCTTCATTAACGCAGGAATTTACAGGTATTAGAGCAAGACTGTTTCCTTGTGAAGGCTGAAATAGGTAAATCAGATAAAGTCTCGTTCCAGAATGTTGTAGCTATCCTAAACCCATGTGTTTAATCTCAGCTAATTCAAGTCTAAAAGCAATTAAAACCTCACAAAATGGGATGCACAGAGGCCAAGACCTCCGAGCTTTCCTCTCCCAGCTTCCCGTGGTCCTAAACCTAACAGAAAACCTTGGCTACACTAAATTTAAACACTCCCAGTTGTTTCTTGTCTCTTCCTCCGTAGCTGCAGGTCTTCAGCTGGGCTGGGGTAGGTGTTGAGTCTTTCTGCACTTCCAACTTGGCAGCAGCTTCCTGGGTTCATGGCACTTGGAACTGGGTATTTACCAAAACAGGGGCTGTTCCCCAGTTCATTTGTGACTCAGCCCATGAGGGCTGAGGCTGTTTTCTGCCCCCTCTTAGATGCGCCTGGTCTCCCCGTTGGGCTCCAGCACAGTCAGGTTTCCTCTTGCATCCTGATCCATTTCAATGGCTTCAAACAGAGACTTGAAGTTCCCGGCACCGAAGCCCTGTGGAGATGACAGCAACATGAGAGACAACGGGGATGGGCAGCAGGTCCTTCATCTCCAAGGTGGCCAGCAAATAGCAGCACCAAGAGCTGCCTGGGTGATGGTATGTGATGGCCCTGAGGTCTTAAAGCCAAGATCCATGTGAAATCCTCACCAACCTGGTGGTTGTGCCGCTGGATGACCTCCAGGAAGACGGTGGGTCTGTCTTGAACCGGTTTGGTGAAGATCTGGAGCAAGTAGCCTTTCTCATCAAAATCCACCAGGATTTTCAGTTCCTGGAGGAAAGAAACAGGAGCAAGGGGATCCCTCTGTGTCACCCTCATCCCTGCAAAACGCTCCATGGAGCTGGCCTAGCCCCAGGCAAACCTTTTCCCTCTCAGGCCAGTTTCACTCACCGCCAGCTTGTCGATGTTCTCCTTCACTTTGATTTTGGCAGTTTTCAGCCTCTCCCGCAGCATCCGGTAGTAGCTGGATGGGACATCCATGAACTGCACACCCCGCTGCTTCAAGTTGGTGATCTGCAAGGCAGGGGAGACCCTGGGGTTGGTCAGGCATGGGGCTGGTTTGTGGCAGAGGTTTGTGTCAAGAGCATTGCCTGGGACAGGCAGTGTCAGGAGGCAGTGACACTTTCCCATGGGTTTGGCCAACCTTGTGTGGGGACCTGTCCTACCATCTCACTTCGGGCACCAGGAACAGGAGGACCCAAGATGCCCTCTCCAGGCAATGCAGAGTTTGCCACTGTGCAAGGATGCTTCATCCCACCCTGACCCACCAGAACCTCTGGAGGCTCTTTGGTCTGGAGAGGAGCCCAAAACCAAGCGCTCAGCAGCAGCGGGGCTGAATCCTAAGCAGCATCTGCCCCAGGCAGAGGTGGGTGATGTGCTGTGGTGGCTCAGCCCAGCAGCCCTGTGACAAGGTCTGTGTCCAGCAGGACAGGACAGGGGCTGCACTCACTGCTGAGATGATGTCGGAGGTGTTCAGCGCGATGTGCTGCACTCCAGCCCCTCCGTAATAGTCAATGTATTCCTACAGGGAGAAAATACCACCATGTTAGTGACAGCACAGCTACAGCATGCAGAAGACTGAGTGTGGGCTGAAGTCATGACAGCAAAATCAGCTCAGGACACCATGAAATGAAGACACTGTTGGTGAGATCAGTCACCAGTGTCCACTCACCTGAATCTGGGATTTCTTCTTGCCAAATGCTGGCTCATTGATGGGCATCTTAATGGTCTCTTCGTAGTTGGTGACCACGATGGAGCGCAGGGCGCTGAACTCCGTGTGCAGCTGCTTGTCATCCACTGACCAGAAGCGGTGGAAGAGCAGGTTCTTCTGGTACCTGCCCAGGCCACAAAGGGCACCATCAAGTCCTTCGCTCCATCCTCTCACTAATTGAGCTCTGGCTTAACTAGCCTCAGCCCCTGCTATCAGAAACATGAGCCCAGCAGAGTGGTGCTGCTGCCTCACCCCACTCTTACCAGTCTGCCACTGGGACCATCTGGAGGTCGGGCTGGTTGCCCACAACGTGGTCAATGAAGTTGAGCTTGCCGCTTGGTCTGCAGGGGGAAGCCAGGGGTGACCCTCAGCTGGGCTGGGTGGCACACCACAGCACAGTGGGGTCCCATCCAGCTCCTTGGTGGCACATCCCATGGGCACACAGTGACAAAGAGCCAGGCAGAACCTTCTGGGAAGCACTCACAGCTTTGGCAGCAGGGGGTCCCTGAAGAGGGGCGGGTGGTACCCGGGCAGGAAGAGGCCTTTGTAGTTGAGCTTTTCTATCAGGGTGTGGGTGGTGTCCCCGTACTGCGAGAGAGGGGAAAGCGGTTCTGTTGTGGCTGCCTGGGGACCTCCCGGGTCCAGGCTGCTCCCCAGACCCTGCTCTGGCGGGGGCTCAGCTCCACAGCTCCCTGCTCTCACCGTCTGGATCACCGCGAACTTCACCTTCCCGAATTTGTCCTCCTCCACCCAGGGCTCCTTCAGCACCGCGGCACCGCGCTCCTTGGCTTTCTGTGCAGGAGGAGACGGCTCTAACGGGCTGACAGGCTCCTTGTGCTGCAGCTCGAATGGGCTGGGGGGGGGGCACGTCCCCAGGCCCTTCCCCACCTCTCCTCACTGTTTCAGGGTGTGGGATGGAGCCGTGGGGCTGCCTTACCTGCACAATGAAGTCGCAGTCCTCCACCTCGAAGGCGATGTCCTTCACCCCATCACCGTGCTTCACCAGGTGCTCCCCCATCTCTGCCCGGAGCAAGAGCAGCCACAGCCATGAGCAGAGCTGCTTTGCCCCACCACGGCCATTCCCCCCCCACAGGACACCTACCCTCATTGCCTGGGTTGAGAGCAGATGAGAGAACAAACACGATCTGGCAAGGAAGAGAGAGGTGAGCGATGGAGGCTTTGCAGCGTGGCTGCAGCCCCAGCCTTGGGCAGAGGCACCTAAGGTGCAGGATTTAATGGTGCAGATGGGTTTTGGCAGCACCCACGTGCCCAACAGCAGCTCACCTCCCCTCACTTCCACCCTGGCAGTGGCATCAGCCCCTTACCTTGTCCTGCTTGATGACGTGTGACACCACCTCCCTGCTGCCTGTCTCCAGCCCCCGGTACGCCAGCTCCTCGAACCCCAGCTTGTTGCAGTAATAGGATGCAGCCTGCGGGCAGGTGAGAGCCCCCCCCGGGTGAAGCCACATCAGTGCTGGTGATCCCCCCCAAACCAGAGCATCACCAACAGCCCACAGGGAACAGCCGCTATGGTGTGTGCATGGCCATTGGCAGGTGAGGAGCTGTCACCACATCAAAATGTTCCTGCCTGTGTCCTGTTCACCTATGAGGTTGGGTGAAAAGCAGCTCAGGTTTGAAGCAGAAGGGTTTTAAACTCAATGATGGCTTTTGGCAGCGAGTGACAGAGCTGCTGCCACGAGGTCTCACTGCTCTGCAGCCCGGTGGCCATGGTCCTGTGCACGTCCCAGTATGTTTCCCTGCGCACACCCCCGGCAGTGCCCCTTGCCTTGCGCAAGGGGGCTCAAGGCCGCTGCCCGAGGCCGTGCCGGTGGGACAGGGACAGCTTTGGGATGCAACGCCCCCCCCAGCAGCCAATAACCAGTGTCTGCCCCATGCCCAGCCGCAGGCAGCCTCTCACCTGCTTGGCGTTGCCGACCCAGAAGGTGATGGAGTGGAAATGGATGAAGCGGCCTCGCAGGGGCTAAAGGGAAAGGGAAAACAGGGCTGAGAGATGTCACCACGGCCCTTCCCACAGCGCTGCTGATCTGTGAGCCAGGGAGAAGCAGTGGCTGTGACTGCAAATGCATCTCCTGTGAATACACCTGAATCATAGAGCCCCAGCCTGGTTTGTGTTGAAGGGACCTTAAAGCTCATCCAGCTCCAGCCCCTGCCACGGGCAGGAACACCTTCCACTGGAGCAGCTTGCTCCAAGCCCCTGTGTCCAGCCTGGCCTTGAGCACTGCCAGGGTTGGGGCAGCCACAGCTTCTCTGGGCACCCTGTGCCTCAGCACCCTCACAGCAAACCGGTGAATCCCCATCTCCTGCCCTGAACCTGCAGCTCCCAAAGTGCTTCACAACTGCAGGACACTGCTCTGCGGGTGGGTGCTGCAAAGCCCCAGCTCTGGCTCCGCAGCCACCCTGGTGCTCCCCATGAGCTGCTCCCCATGGACATGAAATGGCTCTTACCTTTTCTCCCTTGTCTGTGTAAGATGTCTGAAAGAGAAGCAGAAAGAAAGGTGTTAGCGGCTCAGGAGGGTACCTCAGCCCCCATGGAGCTCGGATTCAAAGGTCAGTGTGCGAGGCACAGCTCTTCTACATGAACAGCCACTAAACCATCCGAATTCAAGCAGGATTAACCCCAGTAAAGCTCCTGGATGTCCCATGCCATTAAACCCCAAATGTTTAAGGATTCCCATCTGCTGCCTCTCACCATTTTTGTGCCCTGGTGATGTGACAGCGGCAGAGAGAGTGCGAGTACAGGAGGACATTTAATATAGTGGTGGGACGGGGAAGCTCCTCCTCGGCTCCACCTTCTCCCACCCCCAACCGAAGCCTTTGTGACCAGGGGGTGTGTGTTTGGTTTGGGCTGGGATCCACCGGTGTCATCTCATGGGTGGCTTCCAGGTGTCATGGGGTCCTCTGCAGCGCTGGCTGTGGCGCAGCAGGGTGGAATGCGGATGGTGAGCATGCGTGGACATGGACATTTCCAACTGGGACCTTTAAGCTCATCCGGTCCAATCATTCCCCAGCACTGCCAAGGCCACCACTAACCCGTGGCACTGAGGCCTCGTCTCCACTGTGTGTGAGCACTTGCAGGGATGGTGACTGCAGCCCTGCCCTGGGCAGCCTGTTCCAATGCCTGAGCACCTCTGGGGAAGGAATTGTTCCTCAGCTCCATCTAAACCTGCCCTGGTGCCCCTTGAGGCCGTTTCCTCTTGTCCCATCCCTTGTTCCTTGGGAGCAGAGCCCAGCCCCTCCTGGCTCCATCCTCCTGTCAGGCAGTTGGAGGCAGCCATCAGGTCCCCCCTGAGCCTTCTGTTCTCCAGATTGACCCCCCCCAGGTCCCTCAGCCGTTCCCGATCACACTTGGGCTCCAGGCCCTGCACCAGCTCTGCTGCCCTTCTCTGACCTGGCTCCAGCCCCTCAATGCCTCTCTTGCAGTGAGGGGCCCAGAGCTGAACACAGGATTCGAGGTGCGGCCTCACTGGTCCTCAGTGCAGGGGCACAATCCCTGCCCTGGCCCTGCTGCTGCACTGGTGCTGGTGCAGACCCGGATGCTGGTGGCTTCCTGGGAACAAGCTGCTCCTGCTCAGCTCCATCACTCAGCACCCCCAGCTCCTTTCCCATGAGCACTTTCCAGCCGCTCTTCCCAACACCTGGAGCGCTCCATGGGGTTCTTGTGGCCCAAGCGCAGGTCCCGGCACTTCCCCGTTGAACCTCACCCCAGCGGCCACAGCCCATTGCTGCCCCGTGACCCTGCGCCGGCCGAACCGCCGCGCCACCACGTGCCGCTGCCAACGCTGCGTCACTGCCAACGTCACGTCACGCCACACCCCCGATGCTCTGACCACGCCCCCGTGTGGGCAGAGCCTGCACAGCCCCGCCCCTCCGGCTGTGACGCGGATTCTCCGCTGCCGGAGCCCGTCGCGGCCATGGAGCCCCCCGATGGGAGCCGCCCGGTCACCATCAGCGATGTGCAGGAGCTGGTGCGGCGCAAGGACGAGCTGGAGGCGCAGATCAAGGCCTGCTACGAGCTGCTGGAGAGCGTCAGTGCCGCGGGGCGCGGGCGGGGCGGGGCGGGGTGGGTTGCGGGGCCGGGCTGCAGCACCCGCCTGCAGCACCGGCCCGCGGCCCCACGGGATCTTCTTCCCTCGCAGCAAAAGGGCGTGGGGATGAACGAGCCGCTGGTGGACGCCGAGGGGTTCCCCCGCGACGACATCGACCTGTACCAAGTGCGCACCGCCCGGCACAACATCGTCTGTGAGTGACCGAGGGAGGGAGCGGCTGGGCCGCTCCGGGCTGGGGAGAGAGGGGCTGAGAGCTGGGGTGGTTCTGCAGCGGGAGAGAAGGCTTCGTAACGGGAGACCTCAGAGCAGCTCCGGTGCCTAAAGGGGCTGCAGGGAACCTGGAGAGGGGCTTGGGACAAGGGCCTGTAGGGACAGGCCAAGGGGAATGGCTTGAACCTACCCAAGGGTAGACTGAGCTGAGCTCTTAGGCAGAAGCTCTTCCCTGTGAGGGTGCTGAGGCGCTGGCACAGGGTGCCCAGAGAAGCTGTGGCTGCCCCATCCCTGGCAGTGCTCAAGGCCAGGTTGGACACAGGGGCTTGGAGCAAGCTGCTCCAATGGAAGGGGTCCCTGCCTGTGGCAAGGGTTGGAACTGGGTGAGCTTTAAGTTTGCTTCAACCCAGACCAGGCTGGGGTCTGTGATTTGTGAAGTTCAGTGAAGCGCTTTTGTGGTGGTTGTAGAATCAGCTTGGGGTAAAGAGTAGCTGGGGTGGCTTGGGGGAGTTTTCTGTGTCTTAACTTCTGCCAACAGACAAACATCTGCTGGGCTGTGTGAGCAGGGCTGGCACCAGCACCCTCCGGCAGCACCAGCAGAGGTTATTGGTAGCCCCAGCTGAGGCCCGGGGTGCCCATCCCGCCGTCTGCACAGAACCCGCCCTGAGAAAGAGCCCCGGGTTGTAACTGGCTGTGCTCCTCGTGTGCCCGCTGTGAGCGCAGGTCTGCAGAACGACCACAAGGCCCTCATGAAGCAGGTGGAGGAGGCTCTGCACCAGCTGCACGCCCGCGAGAAGGAGAAACACGCCCGGGACGAGGCGGAGGCGAGGGCCGAGGCGCTGAGCCAGAGCCAGAGCCTGCCCCAGCCCTTTGCCAGGGTGAACGCTGTGAGCCCGGGGTCTCCTGCCGGCATAGCGGTGAGCCTGGGGCTCTGCCAGCCCCTGGGGAGCCCGTCTGGGCACGGAGGGGAAGCACAGCACACGGCGTCCTCTGCCTCCTGTCATAGGTGGGGATAAGCTGGGGGCTTGCTGAGGGGATCAGTGCTCTCTTCCCAGCTGTATCCTTGTACCACAGAGCTCATTCCAGGCCTCCCTGACCATTCCAGGCTTGGTATTTCTGGAGAGGGACTGTTCATTAGGGACTGCAGTGACAGGACAAGGGGGAATGGGTTAAAACTGAAACAGGGCAAGTTTAGATTGGATATAAGGAGGAAATTCTTCACTGTGAGGTTGGTGAGGCACTGGAATGGGTTGCCCAGGGAGGTTGTGAATTCTCCATCCCTGGCAGTGTTCAAGGCCAGGTTGGACAGAGCCTTGGGTGCCATGGTTTAGCATGAGGTGTCCCTGCCCATGGCAGGGGGTTGGAACTTGATGATCTTAAGGTCCTTTCCAACCCAAACTGTTCTATGATTCTGTGATAAAACAAGACAGAGGAATGAGTACTTGCTGCTCTCCAAGGACATGGAAAGTTGCCTGAATGGGGAGAAGAGTAGCGTCATAGCCCATCTGTCTGCATGTGGCTGGGTGAAGGGGATGCTCCTGTCTTTGGAGAAGGCGGGTGCTCATCTCTCTTCTGCCTCTGTGCAGGGACTCCAGGTGGATGATGAGATTGTGGAGTTTGGCTCCGTCAACGTGAACAACTTCCAGAACCTGCAGAACATCGCCACAGTGGTGCAGCACAGCGAAGGGGTGAGCTCCTTTCTGCTCTGCCTGCTCTCTCTTGCCTATCTCCCTTAGCCACAGCTATTTCTATTCACTTAGATCTCCAGCATCATCGGTTTCATGTCTGAAACAGCATCAAGTTCAGTGTGTGCTGGTTTAGCCTTGTTCTCACAGCACTGAGCAAATCCCTGCTGCTTAGAAGAGAGCTAAGAGATGTGTGTATGCTGCAAGCATCATACTGCCTGCTGTCCCCTGGGGGCTCCCTGCAGCAGCAGGCCTTGTTGCTCTGCCACCCTCGTGGGCTCACCAAAGATGCTGCCACAGCCATCAAGTGCTTTAAAGTGGAAGTGAGAGATCTGGAGATGTCTGTACACAAAATGCTCTCTTCTTTCAGATCGAGCTGCAGGAATGGGAATGGGTGTTGCTAAAGAGCATCTTCCGGGGGCCTAAATCCTTTTGGTGCTTTGGCAGTAGAAGGAAGAAGAGCATTGCCTTGGTGCTGGGGAGTTGTTCTTTATCTTGGTGTCTTCTGTGTTTCAGAGGCCCCTGAGCGTGACTGTGATCCGTGGTGGCAGAAAGGTGCACGTGGGGCTGATCCCCAAGCGCTGGGCTGGGAAGGGCCTCCTGGGGTAAGCTGCTCTTTCACTTAGAACAAATGAAGCCTCCCCCAGCTGTGGTGGCTCCGGTTCATCCCATGTCAGATCTTCTGTGCCTGTTTGAGAGCTGAGCTTTCAGTGTTTCCTTCTGCCCTCTTCTTTTTCAGCTGCAATATCATTCCCCTGCAGAGATAACCATCGCCTGGAAAACAATAAAGCCGAAGCTTGTGCCTGCTTTCTGGACCCTGATCTGGCTTGAGAACCCTGTGGGTTTGGTGACAGAACTGATTTGGAGGCTGTGGGCTCTGGGTGCCAGGCTCCAGAGTGGAGAGGTTCTGATGGAGCAGGGCCTGCTGCAATTCAGGATGGCTCTGGCTCATCAGGAATCACCTGCAGCGCTGCAGGACTTGACTTCTCCTCTCTTACGCCTTGTATTAGAGTGGGATGAGGTTATAGAGAGACCCAGACCCAAACCTCACCTGAAAAGGCTCTAAAGAGCATGAGATGCTCTTGGTCATAACAGACCATTCCTTTTCACCTCACTTACACAACTCCTCACTGAACATCTTGGAATACACCTTAAAGAGTCCCAGAGCCCTTTGTGGTGTGTTAATAGTAGGTGATAGTCAAGAAATGCGCAGATTTGGCTTTCTCTCCCCCATGTTACCACAGCTTTTGAAGTCACCAAACACCATGGAACAACTTTTGGAATGCCTCCTTATTTGAAGTTAATGAGATAAGCAAGAGGGGCTGTAGTTCTGCTCTGGTTCCCTTTTAGCAGCTCACAGAGTCATGGTCAGAGTACCTCTAACCCAGCTTCGCCTTTACTTTGAATTGTTCTTTTTTATCTTTCTATTTGCAGTGGTTGGTTTTGGGGTGCTTAAACTCTTTGAGGGGATTTTGGGGGTGGTTGGGTTTATGCTTGTTTCCCGTTGAGCTTTGAAACTCTCTCCCAAAGCAATAAAACTGAGGAACTTCTCTCCACTGCTGTGTTACTCTTTTGGGTAATGGAAGCTGTTACTTCGGACAGTAACTGGGGGGCAGTTTAAGTGGGTAAAACCCAGGCAGGTGCAGACACAAAGTCCTGCCCCCCTCACCTTCCTCCCAGAGCTGAGGTCCAGGGAAGTCTTTCATTAGCACTTCATAAGCAGGTTGTGGGCACTTAATGAGCGGTTTTGTTCTAACTGGTATTAACCAGGCTATGGGGCCAGAGCAGAAGAGGAGCTGCTCTCAGTTGGAATAATCACGGTTTTCATGGTGGAGAGCAGAGCTCGCTCCCCATTTCCTGTGTGATCAGGGAGCTGGATGCTACTGGGTGGGAGGAAAAGCACCATCCCTGAGCAAGCTTCATGTGCGGGTGCTGATGACCAAAGCTGCCTCCTTGCACCCAGCAGAGATGTGGCTAAATCCCTGCTCCTGAAGCCACAAACCTCCCCTGACTGGGAGCAGAGGGATGTGCCACACGGGAGCCCAGAGCAGCCGCCTCAGGTGCAGGAGATGATGTGAGCTGGTAACGAGCTCCTTTCCCCTCCCAGCAGGGCACCAGGCTCCAGCTGGGCAGAAGGAAAAGCAGGTTCGAGTTAAAAATGGTTCTTATTTGAGCTTAGCAGCGAGGCTGAGGTCGGGAGCACTTGGAGCTGATCATCACTGTAGTGACAGGACAAGGGGTAAGGGGTTCAAACTGAAACAGGGGAAGTTTAGATTGGATATAAGGAGGAAATTCTTCCCTGTTAGGGTGGTGAGGCACTGGAATGGGTTGCCCAGGGAGGTTGTGAATGCTCCATCCCTGGCAGTGTTCAAGGCCAGGTTGGACAGAGCCTTGGGTGAGATGGTTTAGTGTGAGGTGTCCCTGCCCATGGCAGGGGGGTTGGAACTGGATGATCTTAAGGTCCTTTCCAACCCTAACTATTCTGTGAGTCTGTGATCTGCGGTGCTGAAGGTGATGGCTCGGGGTGATGGGGCTCCCTGTGCCAGTGCCACCCTGGGGACAGCGGGGAGCCTGGCAGGGGCTGGGGGCTGATTTTCTTCCCTTTGACTCTGCTCGTCCTGCTCAGGGGTGCCCGGGGAGCAGAACCTGCCCATGACCCCCGGAGGGAGCACTGGGTAAGGACCGCGCGTCCCATTCCCTGCACGGGGCGAGGGGTTGGTCCCGAAGGGGGGTACCGAGAGGAGCTTTGCACCGCCACGAGCAGGGTCCGGGCTGCGGCAGGGGCTGAGCGCGCCCCCGGTGCCCGCAGGCTCCTGCGTGGGGCAGGGGCAGCCGGGGGGGGGATGCGGGGGTCCCCCCTTGTCCCCCCGCACACCCCTGCCCTGCCCTGCCCTGCCCTGCCCCGGCGCGCTCGGGCACCGTTGAGCAGCCGTTGCCTGGGAACAGCCGCGGGCTGCAAACAGGAGCCGGGGCCGGGCTCGGGGTGACCGCGGGTCCCCAGCGCGGTGCCGGGGAGGAACCGAGGCCTGGAGGGGGCTTGGGGACGGCTCTGAGGGGGCTCCGGTGAGACCCGCGCGGCTGCAGAGGTGCCCGGGGGGGGGGGGGGGGGTTCATGGGGCCCCTTCCGCCGTCCGTGCAGGAGGCGCTGGTGTTGGCTCCAGTCCAGACCCGTGAAGCTGGGGGTGAGGCAACCGCTGCCCATGGGGACCGAGACAGCCCCGTCCGAGGGCAGTGTCCGTGCAGGCGGAGGGGAGGGAGCCCGAGCTCCGCTGCAGTAACCGGGGCTGTGCTGGGCTTGCTTGGGCACAGCGGGAGTGCAGCTGGAGATGAAAAGGGGCTCTGGGGACCTTCTTCCAGGTGCCCTTTTCTCCTGTTGTGCCAAACTCCAGCCAAACCTGGGGGGTGAAGGGATATTTCAGAGCATCTCCATGCTCCCAAGGGAGGGAAGGTGCGGATGAAGGGTTCGGATGAAGGGTTCATGGGGAGCTGCACAAGCGAGGGGTGAGCAGGAGCAAGCAGGGACCCCAAGGAGACAGCCTAGGAGGCACAGAGAGCTCAGGCCATGGCCCTGCTGCCGGCCTCGGTGAGGGCAGCACCACGGCAAGCTCCGCCTGACACAGGCTCCATGGGCAGGTCCTGGTGCAAGCAGAGCCCCCGGCTCCCCAGTGCCACCCAGAGCGGGGAGCTCAGCAGCAGCGCTGTGCGGTCTCGGTCCATTCCTCAGGGTTTGCTGAGCACTGGAGCTGCCTGAGAGTGATGGGAGCAGGAGGGAGCTCAGCCTCCATCCCTGCAGTGAGTGAATGAAACGTTATCTCAGCTGCCCCAGAAACAAAGCCCGTGCCCGAAGGAGGTTTGTGTCCGCATGAGAGATCGCTGGAGGAAAACAAACACCTGCGGGGAGAGGGAAAGGGTGGCGTGGATCCAAGGAGAAGATAAAGTGGGGAAAACCTGTGCAGGGGCTGCTGCGAGCTCTGACACCCCAGGGCTGTTGGATACAGGAGGCCGTGGAGGTGCAAAGAGGGCAAGATCGGACGTGCAGAAAGGGAAGCAGCAGCAGTGGGAAACTTCCCATGGCATTTTCCTTCCCTGGTACAAATCCATAGGCGGCTTCAATAGGAGCAAAGGAGCACCTGGATACAGGAGCCTGCCCTGAGAGTGATGCAGGTCGGGTGGGAGATGTGCCAGGTGTGCTCCCATTAGCTACAGGGCAGCCCCTGGCTGGACCGGCCCAGAGCCAGCATCCACTGAGACCTCTCTCCCTTTCCAAGGACCCCCTTGCTGCTGACAAGGAGATGGAAGGGGCACAGGAGGATGCCAAAGGGGAAGATACTGAAGGGACATCATGCCTGGAGGGTGCTGGATCCCCAGCACTGCCGGAGCCCCAGGACAGCAGGCAGGATGGCTTTGCCAGCTTGGTGTGGGAGGCCGTGCCGGGGATGCTCTTCCAGGAGGACAGGCAGAGCAGCCTTCACCCCCTTGTGAGTACCAACGGGCTCAGTGCCGCTATGAGGGTCCAAAGAGCACCCAGCTCTCTGCCACCACCACGGAGACTTCAGTGGCTTTTACAGCCCTGCTGCTAAGAGCCAGGAGCTGTCTCTTCCCCACAGAGCCTGTCCTGGGTGCTGGGCTACAACAGCAGCCTGGCCGTGCACAGCCTGATGGACGGGGAGGACCGGGTGCTCCTGTACGCCTCCTCTCACACAGTGGTTATCCACGATGTCCTGGGGAACAGGCAGTACCACCTGCAGGTCTGGACACAGCCTTCACATCTCCCTTCTCCTCTTCTTCCTCCTCCTCCTCCCAAACCCTCTCCAGCTGGGCTGGAAGGATGAGAGAGGAGGACCCTTGGGAGGGAAGACAAAGGGATCTCAGGAGCAGAGCAGTTTGATGAATGCATTGAAGAGCCACCAGGTCAGGAGCCCCCGAGGCACTTTGCTGCTTCTCTTTCCCCAGGGCCACATAAAGAGCGTTTCCTGCCTGTGTGTGAGTGAAGACAGGCGCTGGGTTGCAAGTGCCGACCGAGGGCCTGATGCTCTGATCATCGTGTGGGATTCCTTCTCCGGGTAAGCTCCCGGGAACCTCCCCTTTGGAAACCTCTTATGTCCAGTAAATCACTCGGGATGACTCCAGGCTCAGCCGAGGGTGAAGAGCGATCGCCTTGAACCTGCCGGGAGGGGAGCACCCATGGGGACTTTGCTCCGTAGGATACCGGTGCGCACCATCTTTGGGAGCCATCCGGAGGACGGGGTCAGCGCCATCGCCATTTCCCAGGATGCGAAGTATTTGGCAGCCATTAGTGCCGGAGCAGTGCAGGTGAAAACCTCTCCTCTCCCGTCCCTTTGCAGGGTAGATCCCGGGAGGTTTTCCCCGGTGCAGCCCAGGGGAGGGAGGGGATTTGGGTGAGGAGAGCAGGTCTGCAGTGATGGCTTGTTTCTGCTGAGCCGCTGGGAGCCACACCTGGGTTTCATTAAAGTGAGCACTGCTGAGCTGGGAAAATGGATCTGAAGTAGGGATAAAAGCTCCCGACTCCAGTGTGCTTCAACTGAAGCAACTGCTAGCGTTGTTTCCCGAAATGGAGCTCCTGGGTTTATCCTGCTCCAGCTTTTTGTGCCCCACCATCTGCTGCAGCTGGAGGGAATGGGGCTCCCCCGAGCTCCCAGAAAGCCACAAATGTCCCTTGGGTTTTCCTTTCTCTTCCAGAGAGTTTGTGTTTGGAAGTGGACTTTGCCCACAGAGAAGCCCCTGTGCAGCACGGAGCTGAGCCCTGACTTTGGGCATCAGGTGAGTGCCCGTGGCCAAGGGGTGACTGGGCTGGACTGGGCAGCCCCATCCTCACCTGCAGCCCTGTGCCCCATCCCATTGGGGCTGCTGGCAGCTGCTGGCTGGAGGTGGGGGGCAGGAGGCGTTGCTCAGCTTGGTGTGAATTCCCACCTTTTCGTTTCAGGATTATGTCATTTTTAACCCTCAGAACCCCCATGAGTTCATCAGCAACAGCAGAACCCAGGTGATATTTTACCTGTGGGTAAGTAGGGACGTGGGACGTCGCACTTTGCTGTGTGGGTCTGCCCCTTCCCTGTCACTACCAGGCGATGGGGAGGGGATGCGCTGGCACTGCAGGGTTCCAAAGCACTTACCCTGGATGTTCTCTTTGCCTTTCCCAGGGCAGCGATGGTTTGCAGTACGGAGCTCCGCTCCTGAGCAGGCAGGTGAGCACAGGGGGACCACAGCACTGTCACCCTCCTGGCAGCAGCACTGTCCCCCTTAAGAGAAGCAGCGGCCGTGCCTGCAGCCTGTCCCCATCCCTCTCCTGGAGACATGAGTCAGGATTGCCTGAGGAGCTCCCCCCCACCACCCCAGGGATGCCCCACTGCATCTTCTGCTGGGGCTGCGGCCTGTGACAGCCCTGCCATGGGACACAGAGGGGATGTCACACAAGGCACCAAGCAGAAACACCCCCGCTTGAGGAGGGAAGAGCCATTCCCAAGGGTGCAAGGCCTCGCTGCTCCCCCTGCAGACCTTCAAGGCCGTGGTGGGACGCTTCAGCCAGTCGGTTTTCCATTTCAACACCACGCAAGCTCTGACGGGCACCGCGGCCGGGAAGCTGGTGGTGTGGGACCACAGGGACCCCCAGGGACAGCGGGACAAGCCGCACAGCGTGAAGGCCACCAAAGTGGTGCCTCTGCAGAAGGAGAGCATCACCGTGCTCACGGTGCTTGAGAGGTAACGGGGGTGGCAGCTTCCCGCAGCGGTAGCACAGCCCTCGGGCAGCTCAGCAGAGTTAATGCTGATGGAAGCTGCTGGTGCGAGTGTTGTCACCCGGCAGCGTGCGAGGAGCGGGGACATTCACGCAGCTGATCCCTGAGCCCTTGCTCCGGCTTTTCCCAGCAGGGAATTTGGATGGGGGTTAAAAACAAGGCTGAACCCCCCCGTTAACGTGACTCCAGCTCTGCCGCAGCCGCTGACACTGAGCTGCCGCGGTCACAGAGGATGGCGAATGAGCCAGGCTCAGCCTCCCGGCCTTTACCGGCAGAGGGAGCAGACAGACACCGAACGCTTTGAGAGCATAGGGACAGGGCAGGGGACAGCACAGCCGTGGGCTTCCCCCCTGCTCACCCTGCACTTGTGCAGAGGAAAGGAGAAGAGCGCATCCTTCTGCTCAAGGATGCTGTCCGAGAAACAGGTGGGAGCTCTCAGTGTGTTATCAGTTACTGGTTGTGGATTAAAGCTTTCCCTTCCTCGCAGCTTCATAGTAACGGGTGATGCGAAAGGTCAGGTTAAATTCTACAACGGGATGCTGCAGCTCCTCACCTGCTACAGCCACAGCAAAGCAGGTTCCATTCGATCCATCTCCTTCTGCAAACCCCGCCCTGGTCCTGTCGGTGCCTCCTCAGCCGGCTCCTCCTCCTGCACCGAGCTCTGCACCACCAGGTGAGGGCCCCTTCATAACCCCAGGTCTCCTCCTGCATTTGCCCTGCAGCGTCAAAGCTGGGGAGGTCTCAGCTCAGGCTTCTGGGCAAGGCAGGCACAGGGAGACAGGACAGGGAACGCACCCCTGGTTCCCCTTCCCGCAGGGTTTGGGGTTGGTGTTTGTGCCATCTGCCCTGCGAAGAGAAGCACGGGGGTGTCTGCTGGGCAGCCCCCCTCTGCCTGCAGGCCCCAGTGGCCACCAAAACCCAGGAGGGCTCCGGCACAGCCTAAACCCTGAACTTGATGCCTCGATGCAGGCGGGAGAAGCGTTAAGGCAGCAGGAGGGGATGCGCTGGGTGCTCAGCTCCTCTGTCACGTACCCGGCAGACCAGGCAGCGCTAATGCTGAGCCTGCCGCTCCCGCTGGGCCCCTTAATCCCTCCCGTGGATGGCTATTTCCAGTTGGATTTTACCACGGCTAGGCAAGCTAATCGGGGCAGTGTCAGTGCAGAGGCTGTCCCGGAGGCGATGGCACCCGTGCTGGGTTGCATTACATCGATTCAGGAGACTGCGACAGCCCCAGCCTGGTCACTGGCCCTCCCTGCCCTGTGTGTGATGTAGATGTGCCTGAGGATTTATAGGGAGCCTGCAGGCCAGATGAAGCTGTTCTGTGGCTCAGTGCAGGCTGCACACCGTATGTCTGTCGCTCCTGTTCAGGATCTCCTGGCAACGTCTCTTCTTAGCCATGCGTGTTTTCCAAAGAGCCATGTGGGACAGATTCCTCTCCAGTCTGGAGCAGTGCCCTGGGGAATGGTTTGGTTTTCCCTGTCAGTCTCTGTTGTCTCATCCCTCTTCCTTGTTGCTGCTGCAGCTCTTGCCACTTGCAGGAGCCTTTTATGCTGCCCAAAGCAGCATAAAACCAAAGGGGAAGCCTCAAGCCTGCTCCCCTCACAAGGCTGGTGGGCACGCAAGGGGCATCCAGCACCCGGGCCAGATGTGCATAAACTGATTGCTGTCACAGGCCAGCTGGCAAAGAGACTGCCCTTTCCCCACTGATGCTGCCGGTGGGATGCAGCCGCTCGCTCTGTGTGGTCCTCTCTCCACCCTCCAGCTGGGCCCAGGCTCGCGGGGCTCGGGCAGACTGCTGACTGTGCACATTCATCTTGTGAAGCGCAGCATCACGCAGCCGTCTGCTTCACACATCACCGGCCATGCAGCGGGCCCCTCGCCCCGGCGTGGCTGGGTGAGCACCCAGGCAGCAGCTCTGTCTGCGCTGGAGGGATGGAGCTCTCCCCTCACCTTGTCCGCGGCAGCGCGGTCAACACGGAGCCGCTGACAGTGGTGGCATGGAGGCAATGAACGGGCCATGGAGGGGGTCTTGAATTGCTCATTTGTCTGTCTCACACACCAGTGACTTGCAAACGGCAAAAGCTACCCAGATGTCATTCATCTTCTGGCTTGCCTGCCCAAGTAGAAAATGGAACCAGCTCCAGTGTCTTCCCGCGGAGATTTAGCAGGTCATGAACACAAAGTGCCACCTGCTTCCAGGTCAAGGAGTGTTTGCATATTGCATAGTGCAAAAGATAAGCGATTGTCCAACTAAGTTGCCAAAAAGAGACCAATGTGTAATATAGCTCGGAGGGACGTGAGCCAGCTCCTCTGATTCATCAGATTCTCTTTCTCTCACACTGAACAGGAACTTTATCCTCTCAAACTCTGATGCAACCGTGTTCCGGGTTGCAACAGACGGGATAAACGTTGAGAAAGTCATGGAAGAGGCAAAGAAAGCAGTGAATGCCATCGCCTGTCACCCCCGGCAGGCACGCGTGGCCCTGGGGAGTCACTGTGGGCTGCTGAAGGTGTGGGATTACGAGCAGAGGGAGTACCTGGTCAGCAGGATATTCCCTGAGGCCAGCATCCAGTGCTTGTCCTATGACCCTGAAGGTATCCTGGCCCTGTGACCTCCCCCTGTGCTTCCCGGGAGGAGGGACAGTGTTGTGAGCTCTCTGGCATGCTTTCCAGGTTATTTTCTGGCTGCTGGTTTCACTGATGGGAGCGTTCACATCCTCGATGCCATTTCCCTTCAGTCCTCCTGCAAAGAGTTCAAGTTCTCGCAAGGTCCCGTGACTCACCTGGGCTTCTCTCACGATTCGGAGTACTTCGCAACCGCTGTAAGCTTGGATTTCCCTCTCTGTGCTTCCCGTGTGCTGCTCCGGGTGCAGCTTTCGGTGGGACCGGGGGTTGCTGCCCGTCCTGGAGGCACAGCAGAGCGAGCAGGGCACAGGGATGTCCCTCCCCTGCGGCTTCGTGACTCTGAAATGCTTGCCCTGGCTCGGAGAGGCACTGTGTGAGAACATCACCAGCCACAGCCGCGCCGCAGACCCGCTGCTGGCAGCGCCCCATCGCTGGCTTTAGAGACGAGTCTGAGCTCTGCATCCATCTGCAGCAAGGGCTGGAGCAAGGATTTCCTCCTGGCTGGTGCTCTGCAAGGGGGTTGCTCCCTTATCCCATGTCTCAGTGCAGAAGTGTTGAGGCAGCACTGAAGCACTTTGGCAAAGTAGTTGTAGCAATTGGTGATGATCTGTGCAAAGATAAGGATTCCCCCTTTGTGCACGGATGTGAGGGCACAGCAGTGGGAAGCATCTTCCTTGGGATTTCTGGGGAGCCACTGAACTCAATGTACTGTGCATGGATGTGAGAGCACAGCAGGGAATGCCCCCAGCCAGGATGCTCTGGCCAGGATGGGGTCTGCTTCTGGGCTGCCAATAGACCCAAATCTGTCTGACCTGATGTTTTATCCTGGCTGTGACTCTAACCCTCCTGAAAGGGCCAAGCTGAGCCCGGACAGGATGTGCAAAGCTGCCTGCTGCCAGCCAGGGATGTGCACGGGGACTGTGGCTCATTGACCTCTGTGCTGGTGTTCCAGGATGAGACATACACGGTGACTGTTTACAAGAGAGTCCTGCAAAACGGGAGCAGATGCTGGGAACACTTTGCAGAGCTGTGCTCCCACTACAAACCCATCCGCAACATCCTCTTTGGGGTCCGGTTAGACAGCAACGAGCCCAGGCTCCTGAGCCTTGGGGAGGACCGGCACCTGGTAGGTCAATGTGAGAGCCTAAAGGGCAGGGAAGCTTTGTGGTTAAAGTGGGGCACTCAGCCTTTAATGCTGCAGCTCCCGACCCTGTCCCCACCAGCTCTGTCACAGGGGCTGTGTCTCAGATGGGTGTCAGGGTTCAAGCTGAGGCTCTGCTACTTCAGGCTGCTGCAGGAGATGCTAGATCCAGTTAATGCACAAGGGCCAGGGTGCTGGGCCAGGGTGCTACACAGGGGAGTTGCTGTGTTTCCTTGTCTTCCCTCCAGGTTGAATATGACCTGAGCATCAGCAGCAAGGGCCACTTGGAGGTCTTGCACAGGGACCGCATAGAGCAGATTGCTGTGCCCCTGTGCTTGGCCTGGTACCCACAGCTCAGCAACGAGTCCTTTATCCTCACAGCCAACAGCTGCTACAAAATGAAGCTCTACAACACAACCACCAAACTGTGCAGGTAGAGGAGGGATTCAGGCCTACCACTGCCTGGGAGCTCCATCCTGAGCTGGTGTTCTCCTCTGTCTAATGTCTGTTCTACTCCCACCCGTGTGTTTGCTCATCTGAGATGCAGATCTTGGAATGACTTCAGGGCCCCCAGGTGCTCCATCCTTGTGTCTGCTCTACTGCTCACTAATGTGTCATCTAGTAGGGTTGTGGCTGCAGGTGGTTCTCAGTCTGCCCAGTACACCGGACTTGAGAAGCAGCAGTTGGGTACCAGCTAAAGAGACAGGAGCCCACACAGCAAAGCACAAGCACTGAATGATCCCCGAGTACTCAGTTCTGCTCTTAACCCAAGTGTGGTCCCTTTTAGCCAGGAACCCTGTCCTGTCTTGTCCTCTAGGCCAGTAGTACAAAGCCTTTGCACCTACCACACTTCTCCATATCCATCCATCCATGTACACAGCAGCCACACAGAGAGGGGAAAATGTTTTGTGAGCCCTTGAATGTATGACAATGTTGTTTGCCTTTAGAAAGACCCTTTTGGGACCAACCTACGGCTCCCCATTGGAGAAGATCCAAATCCTCCCAGCAACAAGCACTGTGGATCCCCAGAAACGCTACCTGGCATACATTACAAAGGACAAGGTACAGAGTCCCATCTGCCCCAGCCGTACAAGACACCCGCTTGTAGAGGTGGGGATCCTCGGCAGAATCCCTAGGGATTCCAATGGGACCCCATCCCTCCCAGGCTCCCTCTCTCCTTGCAGGTGGGCTTGCAGATTTTGCCTGTTGATGGCAACCAACACAAGTCCTCAGCTGTCACCTGCCACCCGGGGGGTGTCTCTGACCTCGCTACCTCCTACGATGGACGCTACATCTTTACAGTGGGGGGAAACGACTGCACTCTTATGAAATGGGAGATCAACCTAAAGTGAGTACACCAGGAAGGAGGAAGGAGTCTTGTTGCAGGTTTCCACTGCCGCTTGGCCAACACAGCTGAAGCAGATGTTCCTCAGCACTGACACCGAGAAAGGGACTTTTGTCCTAAAAGGTCTCTGTTTGTGTCCAGAGGAGTTAAAGCCAGGTCTCCCAGCTATTACTATGCTTATCCTGGTGTATAAGGTGGTGCTGCACCCATGGGGCAACACAGCAGGGTGCTGCATGGGGAGCGTTCCTCTGCAGGGCTCTCTTGAGCATGGGACATTCTGGGTTGACAAACCCCTGACAAAGCTGCACTCTCCTGGTGGCTTAGGAGGGTCAGCTTACATAGCAATGACCTGCCAGGCCCCAAGTAACGTTGTGGGGTGGCAGTGGAAAAAGGAGGGACACAATTTCGGGGGGGGCTTTGGTCTCCTCTATGTGCTGTAGCCACACAGTCAATAGAGGGGGTTAAACCAGCAGACATTGCGGGTGGTAGCCATAGCACCTATAAAATACTCCAGCCTGGGAAACGGGACCTGAAGGGTAAGAAGTTGAGCAGAGGGTTTTCTGGTCCTTATGAGGGCATGGCCAGTGTGATGGGAGGCTGCTGGGGTTAGCAGGGATCAGAGGAGCAGCTCTGGCTGCAGGAGGAGCATACGAGGTGGCTCCTGATATAAGAGTGTCTGCTCTCCAAATGGGATAGGATAAAATCCTCCCCTGCATCTGAAGACTGGATTTAGGACAAGCCACCTTAATCCTATGAAGCTTTGCCTACATGAGTAAATGGGGTGGCTGGAGGAGCGAAGGCTGCTCTTGCAAAGGAGGATTTCCAGGCTCTGGCCTGGAGCATCAGTGATAAACCCTGCCAGGTTTCTTCCACCTTCCCTCTGCCAGCTCCCTTGGGCAGCGGTGCCAGATGCGTGCTCCCACATGGCCAACGGGGAATGTGGCAAGGGCACAATATATTCTGGCTTCCTTGCATGTCAAGGACCAAATCTGCTCGTTGCAACGTGTGTGCAAGGCCAGAGGGTTCTCGCCTCATACGCGTGGCTGCAGACAGCCAGTATATACACATATCCATTGAAAGGGAACAGGCAGCTCTGAGTGAGCTGAAAACCGCCAGGCCAGTGCAGAGCAACTTCACCTTCACACTTCAAGGACTAGAAAGGGAGTTTAGTCCATTCTGGAGGTCGAAAAGACAGATAAGCATCATGGTCTCTGTGGGTCTGTGCGTTTGTTTTTACACTGCACGTCTCCCTGATAGCACAGAGCACGTCTCCTGGTTTCTGGCAACTCAACCTCATGGGAGCTGCCTTTTAGCCCTCACTGTTAAGTTTGCCTTTTGGAGTGCCCCTCACCTTCCTAGGACAAAGGCTTTGTGGTTGAGATGCGCTAGACCTGCTTAAACCCTTTCTTGTGGGTACTGCTCGCTCAGAGGAAAGCCCAAAGGGTGCTGAGCCAGCTCACCTTCATGTGCCAGAACAAAGGAAACCTGGGTGGGAAAGCAAAGGGCTTATTTATTTTCTTTTCCACTTTGTGTGGCTTAAGCAGTCGGGGGTCAGGATAAGCGACATTTTAAGGAAGGCAATAGAATATAAATGATCCTTCTTTATAATGGTTGGCCAGGGTCCAGGCAACATTGAATTTCTATGTAATTTGTTTTCGGAGCGAAGCCCTTGATGAGCTAATTATCATTTTATTGCTGCTTCTGGCATCTTGTGCATCTCCACTGTGTTTAATACCCAGATAACTTAATTATGAAGGAAGCATGGAGCTTACAAAGAAAAACCCTGGTGGAAGCAGCGCTCCAGAGGTGCGTGTGGAAGCTGCAGCCTTGCTGCCAGGCGTGGGGCATTATGTGGCAACGCTACGCCACGATTGCGCTACCAGCTTGGTTTCCTTTTACATCTGCACAAGGCAAACAGATTCTTTCGGCTTCAACTGCCTATGAAATGGAAACAAAGAGGTGGCACTCAGATGCTTTCAGTTTAATGTAGGCTGCACCTGTGACACGGTCACGGGCCACAGCAGAGGGAGTAATGGATTGCACTGAGCTACTGGGGAAGAGTGTGTTAGATCCAGGAGCAGGGAGCTTTAGGTTTGTGGGGGTTACTACAAACACCAAGCCCCAGCTCTCCCTGCATGTTCAAAATGCTGATCTAGCTAATTCATCTCCCTCAATGTCTCTATAAGGAAGCAGGAAAGCTAAATGCCAGACACCAAGCTCAAGTCTATGGAAAAGCTCCTGGCTCCCAGCCCTGTGCTCATTCCACTAAACAAGAGGACCATTCAGTAATAATTAATTCCCACACTGTGCTATTGTATGTAAAACCTGGGTATGAAAGATGCTGTAGAGGAGCAGGCTGACGATAAAGTAGCACACGCTTGAAGGCAATGCTTTTCTCTCCTGAACGTGTCTGTGAACAATGACTAGAAAGGGAAATGTGAAATCTCTCCTCACATGAACCCTTCCTGTAGCTTCTTTTCTCTGCTTTTCCAGTGCCTTGGATGCTGCTGTTTCCCTTGGCGGGGAGGACATGAGCCCATTCTACAACCTACTGGATGGTGGCAGAGAAGGCAAATTCTTCCAGGTAACAAAGCCCACTGTGAAGGCTGTCTGGTTGGAGTTTAAGGTTCATTTATACAGGCCTGACATTTCTTTCTTTGTTGTCCAGCTTGCCTTTAACAGCAATCTCATTGATATGCCCGTTAGTAAATCTTGACGGGAGCCTTATCTTCCATGCCTGTTGCTAACTGAACTTTACAGCGTTCTGTTTGAATCCCTCGCAGGAACTGGAAGACTATTTTTACTATGCACAGCTGCACAGCCAAGGTATTGACACACTGGAGACCAGGCGGGTGTCAACACATATTCCCTTGGAGGAAATCCCTTCTGTAATGAGAGCAATGGGGTTTTACCCATCAGAGGAAGAGGTTGGTCAGCTGTTTTTATTGTTGTTATTGAAAGATAAGAGAGTAAGACTGATTACATCCACCAAGTGTGCTGAGGGCCAGATTCTGACCACTGTTATGCTGGATGGCTCCAGAGTGTATTTGCTGTTGTCAATGCATTTAACCAGTTTGCATCAATATAGGAGTAGTGAGAATCTGGCAGCAAATTCCTCAAAAAGTGATGATTCCTCACTAGAGAGGAATGGCAGGGGCAGGCTGAGCAAGCCAGAGTCTGATGGTTCAGAAGTGTTCAAGCCAAAGACCTCAGGTTCTTCTGGAGGTTTAATGCTTTGCCACCACTGCAGAGGTGGGGCTCTTCACAAGGTGAGCTGAGAGAGTTTTGGAATGAATCTTCCTTTGGCTCTCAAGGGCAGCAGCCTCCAGCTTTCCAAAGCCCATGGGCTGAAGTACCCTGTGTGCAGGCAGTGATGTGCTTCACTCTCTGTGACTTCTGCTAGTGGTTGAGCTGCTTCATGTCCAGCCTGTGGCTGGTGCGCCGTGGGGTGAGTCCCTCCAGCTCAGATGGAGGCTCAGCCAGAGCATCCTGTATGTGTTACCAGCATGGGTGGGAATGTCCAGCTCCATGCAGTCATTTGGACACTGACAGAGCCTCTTTTTCTTGTTCTGCCTGGGACTGACAAAAGAATGATTTTTAGATGGAGACAGCAGCTTTTATTCCCCCAGAACTTAAAGCTCTTTCATAACTGATAAACTCTGCAGAAGCTCTCTCTGAGCTTGCCTTTCAGGTTGCAGCAGCAGAGCTTCCTATCAAACATTTCTCAAGAGCTTTTTAGCTTCATATTTTACAGCAGACAAAGACAACTGATTTAATAAGGGTGCTGCTGCTTCCCCTTTTGCGGTTGTTTCTACAAGGCAGTTTGTATTGTATACAAACCTAATTTGTAATGTTGTAACCTGGCAAAAGGGTAATTAAAGCGCCTACAAAAACCCCCAAATTACTGAATCTGATGCAAGGAGATTTAAATAACAACCTCTTTGCACCAGCTACAGCCCCTCAGCGCAGGAGGGGCTCTCCCAAGGGAAGCAGTACATCGCTGCGCTCCCTTCATCTCTCTGCGGAGGAGGCTGTGTTCATCACTGCCATTGCATAGGAACCCCACAGGCTGCTGCTGTGGTGCTGTGAGGCTGTGCCACCCCATCTGCCCAGGCACGCTCTGCCAGCAGAGCCAGCAGATGGGAGGCAGGATCTTTGCCACAGCCACCACCTAAAAAAAAGACTCACTTTGGGGCCCCCACAACCAGCAAATGTTTGACTGAGCCGGGACCACTTTGCCCTCGTTTCAAGCTGTGGTGTTACCCACTCGTAACCTGTTAGATCTTTTCCTTGGGTTATTACACTGTCACCTCCTGGGGACAAAGAGGACACATTTCCCTGGGAAATGTCTCTGTTAACCTCCCCCACCCTGCCCCAAATCGAAATGAAAACAGCATTTCAGGCACGGAGCAGAGGTGCTAAGCTGCTGTGAAAGCAGGCAACCTTCAATCTGCTTCTCGAAGCAGGCAGGACAGCATTAAAACATAAAGTTCCTCTCTCTCTAGAGGGTTTTAATAAAGGAAAAGCAGGAGGGAAAAAGGCAGCTTGGGCTGAGTAGGAAAGCTTTTGGGAATTGGTGCTTTTCTTTTGTAGTTCAGTGGTGCTGGGATAAAACCTAATCCCAGATCAGCCAGAGCTGAGTGAAAATGACTGCTCTTGCCTGGTGTGACACTCGCTACAGGGGAAATACAAGGCTGAGATTTCCCTCTTCCCCGGGCTTCATTCAGTGAAAAACTTGTGACACAAGGACAAAGGCCCAAGGCTGAATGCAAAGTCCTCCCCGGGGAGATCTTGCATCAGCTTTGCTTCCTGGGGAGCAGCAGGCTTGGTACGGGCTGGCACAGGGAATTCTCCTGGCATTTCTCTGCTGCCTGTGTATCTCCAAAGGGGCTTGCTTTGGAGCAGGAGTACACTGAAGGCAAGAAGCAGATGCTGCCTTTCGGACACACATCTGTACAGCTGCCAAATGCGCAGGCTCATGGCACCAGACTTCAGGAAGAGCACTAGTACCCAGCACAGCCAGTGCTTGCCCGTTTGCCCAAGAGAAGATCCAGCTGTGCAGGATGTCAGCCCCACTGAGCAAACTTCAGATTTGGCTTGAACCGTACCAGACACATGTCGGTTTGGGGGGGGAAGGTTGTTTATGCCAGCCAGGGGGTGTATATGCGGTGTGCAGCCTGGGTATGTTGGGACTTTGGTGCATGTACTTCCGTAGTGGGGTGGTGTATTTACTGGTTTGTGGTTTGCTTACCCACTGTCCCCAGAGCGGAGACACAGCTGTGACAAAGGTACCGCTAACAGCCGCAAAGTCACCCAGTGCCTATCATAAGAAAATAGAGGAAACCCAAAATGTCAACCATCTGCTACCCCCATCTTTATCTAATGTCATCATAACAATGAGTGTGTAACTGTCCATGTCCATCCTCAGCTGCTGAGTGCTGGCTTATTGTTGAGATACAGTCACAGCATCTGAGGTACCCACACATGCATGATGACGGTACATTGACATTGGAAACTGGCCTGATGTTCTTCACAAAGAAAACATGTCCCACTCTGTCTTGCCTTGATCTTTAGATTGAAGAAATGCTAAATGAAGTAAAATTCAGCAACTGTGTGGATACTGGAGAACAAGTGACGAAAATCAATTTAGAGGATTTTATCAAACTTTATGTAAATCATCGACCTGCTTTTGGCTTGTCAATGAACAGAATACAACGAGCGTTTCGGGTTCTTGGTTCTGATAATGAGAATGGAGACAAAGTTATTGACAGAGGAGACTTATTGTGGCTGCTTCAATGCAGAGGTGAGTTATTTCTTGTCTAATATTAGTTTTATGCTTGCTAGTTCTGCCTTCAATTTCAGAACGTATTCACTGCAGCAAAAAATTAATCTGGAACTACAGCTTGGTAACCAGGGCAGGCATGTGGAGCAACTGCCTTAAGATCTTAAATTGAATAATCACATCTATTGTCCCAGCTGCACTTCTTTTCCTGGTCTGGAAATCTCTCCTGGCCTCAGGTAACTTGTCTGTCAAACGATGAGTCGGGATTTTGGCAAATTGCACCTTTCTTTCAGTGTGTCCTTATCTGAATCATTGCTCTCTTTTCCAGTTACACCATCTCCAGAAAGGTAGTATAAAACTGAAAAAGAGGGGGGACAAGAGAGAAGGGGTAGAATTGGTCAGTCCTGTGTGAAAGTCTGAGAAGATGGGATGGTTTAGTTCAGCTGAATCAGGGAGAACACTGTAAAGGTGTTTATTATGTCCCATGCCATAGAGAGGTAAATGACTAACATGTATTGTCTTGCTCCTGTTGTAAAAGTGCAGCTGAGCGTTAAGACAGCTAAAGGGAACTGATGTTTTACTCAGTACATCACCTGGTAAAAGTCATTGCCACAAAGATCCTTGGAAACCAAGGATTCAGGCAGTGTGAGAAAGGTTAGTTATATGGATGGTGTGACCATCCATAAATAGATACATTAGCCAGAACAGTTTCATAACAGATCTATAACCTTATGCTTCAGTGCACAAGCCAGCCACTAACTGGGAACACATGCTATGTCCAGGTTATTCAAAGATACTAGATCAAGACTTTCGTGCACCTTTCTCTTCCACCTCTGTGTGGAAATGGCTACAGCCATTGATACAGGGCTATATGGACTGTAGTCTGCCCCATGCCAGGAATTCTTTAGTGGGAATAGAAACTCAAGCCCCTCAAGGGCACTGTAGCCTAAAGAGCTGTCTGCAGTAGAATTTCTCTCTTTGATGAATATTTTTTCTCAAAATACAATATGCAAGAACAATTTTCCTTAGGATCAATATTTTCCTGTGTTGGGATCGTGTGTTTTGGTTGGTAACGTGTATCTCTCTATGTCTGTGATACAGCTGTCTTGTTCTCTTTGTACGCTGTTGTTATTCAAGTTGCCTTCTAGCTTTTGAGGTGGGTGTTGCTCTGTTGTGTACAGGAGAGCGTATGACAGAGGATGAGCTGGCGCTGTGTCTGACCACCCTGCTGGGCAAGCGTCCTGGGGGAGAAGGATCTGAACTGGACACCTCAGGTATGGCATTAACATTCCATGCAGCACAGAAGCAGGACTGCTTTGATTCCCAAATAGAACAATTTAAATTGCAAACCCATTACCCTGTTAGGCCACAAGCTGTCAGAAACACTCAGATGGGATTGCAAAAATAGGCATGGAGCTATAGATTGTCCTTCTCCCGTGCAGCAATTGCATGTGTGCATCTAAAAATAAATGGACAACAAAATATAACTGGGACCTGACAAGATTACATTGCTCTTTATCTGCTTGCTGGCTTGCAACTGGAATTAGAAACACACAGTGGAAGGCTTACACACCAGAGTCCACAGGCAAAAAGGAATCCTACAATATGCAAATGACAGTGTTGATTTTATCCAGGCAGCAATGCCCACTGTAACAGAGCTGTTGATAAACACTGCATCTGTCTACAATTTATGTCCCAGTCTACACCAGTCTAGAACAGCAAGTTACAACACTGGTTTCAGCCAAGGGATGCTGCCCATTGTAATTGGAACTGCTGGGAAGTGCCCCGTGTTTGTACAATTCATGTCCCAGGACACGCCAGTTCAGAACAACATCTAGTTAGGGCCATTGTGGAACTATCTAGCTCTGCAAAGCAACTTTGAAATCCCGGGATTCCCTGGGATTCTAAAATCACATTCAATGGCTGGAGTGTAAAAGCTGGCTCCTTGATGCTTCTGCAGCAGGGACCTAATGCAAGATGTGACTCACAGCCTCACAGATCTGACAGATTCCATCCCTCATGCAAATACATGAAATATTAAGCTAGTACCCCAACACTTTTCCGTGATTCCTTTGTACATCTTTAAAAGCATTCCATTCACTTACTGCACCTTATAAATTTTACTGATCTGGAAAGCCATTTTTACACTGCTCTTGTGTGTTTTGTGTTGTTACTGCTCTTCAGGTGAAGCAGCTTTGACTGAAGAAGAAATTCCAGCAGAAATCACAGCAGAGATATTTGCTGGCGACATTCTTGGCTTACCTATTGCTGAACCAGAAAAAAGAACAGCAAAAAAGAGAGATGAATCTTTGATGTATGAAGACTCAGAATCATAGCGGCCACAAAGTTTTCTGCTCATTCCTATTTCCCAGTCTCCTGTCCTAAAATATCTACAGAAAATACATATTCTGTGTTTATTACAAAGTAAAAGTCACATAGTTTCATATTAATCAGACTCTAGAACAAGCCCCCAGTTTATCACATGCCATAAGGCTATGAGGTCAAACCTATGTAGAGAAGCACTGGGGTGGCTGTAAAGAACAAAGCAGAGGGGCCACCCCATCCCTGGCTGGAACCTTCCTAGAATTCGTTTGAGGTGGGTTTATGCCAGATGCAGTCTATTTTGATTATGTTAAGCCAGTATTTATTTGTGAAACCTGACAGCAAAAGAGCAATGTGAAAGTACTGTATTGATTCAATACCTTGAAAAATGCTTGGATAAGTTAGAATGGATTTGTAAAGTAAAGAAAGGAATGCTGTGTTATACATAAAGGCCAAAATGGAAACCTGGCTTAAAAAAAAATGAGATCTTCTTTCTGAAAGCGATAGTTCCAATTAGCAGTGTAATACCAATGGGACAGCATCTTACTTGTGTTTGTGTAAACAGCATAATGAGGCTGATATAAGTTGCTGTAGAAAGATCAGTGAAGTGCTGTTGAACAGGCTTCCTTCTTTACATCATCCTCAGCATCAATTTGAATAATAATGTAGGCCCTTAAGAAGTGTTCCTTTCAGCAGCAATGTTTCTTAAACAGAGGTCCCTGTTACATACTCTGAAAGTATGTGTGACTGTGCCATTAGAACCAACAGCAAGGTGCGCACTGGATGCATGGTGATGGAGCGCACTGGATGCATGGTGATGGAGTCCAGTGGCACCAAGACCACAACGGGTGTGTGACAGGACAGTTTTTCTGCAGGGCATCACTTCGTGCCTGACTCTCTGCGCACTTACTGATATGTTCATGTACCTCTGCTCTGGAGCTGGTCCAGCCTGAAGAAGGCTCCTTAAGGGGAGATCTTAGAGCAGCTCCAGTGCCTAAAGGGGCTGCAGGAAACCTGGAAAGGGGCTTTGGACAAAGGCCTGTAGGGACAGGACAAGGGCAATGGGTTTAACCTGCCCGAGGGGAGACTGAGCTGAGCTCTTAGGCAGAAGCTCTTCCCTGTGAGGGTGCTGAGGCGCTGGCACAGAGTGCCCAGGGAAGCTGTGGCTGCCCCATCCCTGGCAGTGCTCAAGGCCAGGTTGGACACGGGGGCTTGGAGCAAGCTGCTCCAGTGGAAGGGGTCCCTGCCCGTGGCAGGGGCTGGAGCTGGAGGAGCTTTAAGGGTCCTTCCAACCCAAACCATGCCGTGATTCTATGAAATTACTGGAATTATTTAGGGCAGCTGAGAAACCTCATAACCACCGGAAAAAAAAATAAATGCTTATTACGGATTTATCAGGTCTCGTTTAACGAGGCAAACGTTCTGCTGAACAGGAAGCATTGCTAATCCCCGCGCTCCAGCTCTGCAACAGTGTCCCAGCGCCTTGCGCAAGGGGCTGCACCGGGCTGTCACTCCCCAGCCGGCTGCCCGGCGGCGGAGCTCTGCTCCGGGCACCTCCGCGCCGGGCACCTCCGCGCCGGGCTGAGGGCTGCCGGGTCCTTCCCTCCCCGCGCTCCGTTCCCGTCCCTGTCCCTGTTCCCGTTCCCTTCCCCCGGCCGCCCGCTCTGTCCCCGCCGTTCCTTCCGAGCACGGTCCCGTCCCCCCCCCCACGCTAGGCCCCGCGCGCGCGGGCTGCCGGCGGCGGCGGCGCGGGGCGCGTGCGCAGTGCGCGGGCCCCCGGCGGGCGGGCGGAGCCGAGCTGTGCCGAACGGAGCCGAACGGAGAGAGCATTGTGCGGGCGGGCGGACGGACCGACGGACGCCGCGAGTTCAGCGCCGGATTCCCCGCTGAGGCTGCCGCCGTCCCCTCAGCACCATGTCGGGTCGGTCGGTGCGGGCCGAGACCCGGAGCCGGGCGAAGGATGATATCAAACGGGTGATGGCGGCCATCGAGAAAGTGCGCAAATGGTGAGCGGGCCGCGCCGCGCCGGGACCCCGCGCCCGCCCTCCCGCACCCCTTCCCCGCGCCCCCCGCGCTGTCCCCTCACGGGGCCGGAGCTCGCCGGGCGGCCGCGGGGGGCGGGGAGCCGGCGGCACCCAGAAGCCATTTCGCTCCGGCGAGTCACATGAAGGCGGTGGCGGCGTGTGAGGGCGAGAGGCGGCTCCATTGTGCGGCCGAGCCCCCTCCCCGCCGACCCCCGGTGCTCCCCTCCGACCCCGGACCCCCGCTCTGCCGCTCCCGGGCCGGGCCGGGCGGTGACGGGGCGGGCGGCGGGTCGGACCGGGCCGGGCTCCTCCCGCCGCCGTCCCCTACAAAGGGCCCCGAGGAGCGGGGCCTGGGGAGCTCCGGCGCAGGGTCTGTGTGGAAATAGTGCTCAAAGAAGTATCAAAACCCCCCCCTGTAAAGCTCCCGAGAGTTTATTTCTGCATAATTCCCTATTTATTTATTTATTTCACCTTTCAAGTTCCCGAGCTTTGCACGTAAGCGCAGCAAACCCGAGCGGGATCGTGTCCCACAAAACGCTCCGGTGGCTGTAAATCCCGAGCGAGCGTGTAATTGCCGCTGGAATTTGTTTTAAATGATATAATTAAAGGTTGTACCCCGTGCGAAGCAGTTCTCTTTTGTTAGGCCTTAAACGTGTTTTGGCATTTTCCCGCTTTTGTCTTTTATTTTTAATCTGCTTTTGTTATTAAGATCGACATGAGGTGTTTGAACAATGCAGTAAAACAGACCCTGCGATGTTCCCCACGGGCGATCAGGGGTTTTGGATGGGATAAAGAGCAGTGCCAGTGTGACTCGAGAGCAGATCCCTTTCTTCCAGCAAGTTGACTGATTGTTCCGTAGTCTTTGTGCATGTATCTTGAAATACTTTCTTTAAACGTTTGAAATCCACGGGGAAATCCTTTGGGTTAATATTAATCTGCATAACTGGTAAAACAAGGGGATGCTTTTATTGCAGTTCACCGATAACGCTTTGCTTTCAGTGAAAGAAGAGTGAAACGTACACTGAAACGTGTTTGTTATTGGGGTGAAATGGGGTGGTTGTGTTTTAAATGGCCTTAAGCGCATGAATGGGCCCGTTGGTTCGAGCTGGACAAAGACTCGGGACGTGTGTCCAATAACGCAGGGCACGGGATGGGGCTTTCAGAGAATCCAGCCATTGTGTGGGGAGCGGAGCAGCCCCAGCACCGCAGTTGGGTTGGTTTCAGGAACTCTCTTCTACTCCGGTGGTGTTTTGAAGCGCTGTTTGCTGACTGGCGGCAGCTTTGAAGGGTCAGAACAATGTGTAGTGATGTGACAGGACTTTTGTTCAAGCAGGAACATTGTTGGATGTGTGGGACTGTTTTGTCTGTAGGTATTTCATTCATGAGTGCAGTGTGCTTCCTTTGAAACCTAGCTGGTGGGTTTCAGAGAGGAGTAGAAGCTTGGCCATTCAACAAAGTGTCTGATTTATTTCTTCTCTCTTGGCAAGGGCTCTCTGCCATCATGTCAGTTGCTATGGCTTCCTCTGTAAAACAGAAATCTCATGGTATAAATAGTTTTGTACGTTTTTACTCTCAAGAGAGACAACTTGCTTTAAAGGGTTCATATACAGCCCTGCAATGTTTCTTTTGATTATTGTCAGAAGTATTCCTGTGGCTTTTTGTCTGCGCATCTCACAAGTGTTAACATAAACCATTTTCTTAAAGGAATCCTAATTTGAAGGTGAATCTTGTGATTCCCTTCCAGAGTTAAGTACATCAGGGAATTAGCAAGAGAGATTCTGTGTTTTGTGGTTTGAATGTTTTGGGAAGACTTGGCTTGTTCAATTGAACTTTACACGCTAGCAATTCCTGCATCTTCAGAAGAGCCACATAGGCAATTTCCAAGTGTGCAGTTGTATTTGCATAATAGGAGCAATTTGTTGCCATCCACAGCTCTGGTGTGGAAATGCAGCCGCTGAAGATTAAAATACCCTGTATCCAGCATCTCCTAGAACAGAGTTGTTGGAGACTTGCGTGTGTTCGCACTGTGAGGATGAGTAGAGAGGCAGGTTGTGCTGTCAACTCTCCCGAGCAGGCAGTGGATCCGCTATGTGCTGCCCAAAGCTTTATTGATCTGTGAAGGTGTTCAGCAGCTTTACTGTGCAATATTACTGAATGCCTCTGCTGCCACATCCATGAACGTGCCTATTGGAAAGCAGTTTCCATCAGTGCGGGCTTTGTTCCTTAGAAAATTAGCATTCATTCTTAGACAGTGAGCCCTTTGATGCAGGTGCCCTATCTCTGTGTGTGTTTGTAGAGCTCCCAGCACTTCTGGTATTACTGGAACTTAGTAGTAAACAGTGGAGTTGTTAAGGTTTTTATCTTGAGATTAATGTAACCATATCTCTTTGTTTAAACCGGTCTCATGAATGAACATCTAGTTTAGAAAACATGGAGCACGTGTCTCACAGAGGACATGGTTGCGTTATATTTGTGTGGCAGAAATGATAAAGGGCCATGGCTAAGAGGGTAGTTCTTGTTTTTAAACAGGACTTACAATTTTTCTTTCCGTCTATTTTAAGAAGTTGTTTGAGATAAATTTACATCACTGAATCATGAAAGGTACAGGATTGTTTTTTGTTGTCAAAGACGGATGGGTATATATAGATTCTAAATGGGCTGGTTTAGAGAAAGTACCAGGAACCATTGTGTGGCCTTGTCTCTGAATTGCAGTATCCATGCAGAAATCCTTTGACCTTCCTCTGACCTGACCTAGGGATAGTGACAGCACATTGTGAAGCAGAGGTGAACGTGGACAACTGGTGAAAGGACTTACAGAAGTGCCAAGCGTTTATTGTGGCAGTGAGTCAGCTGAAGAGCCGGACTTGACTTGGGATGTGGCTTAAAGCAAAGCCTGTTGTGTGCCAGTTAAGGGGCAAAGTCACCATGGGCAGTGTTACCCGGTAGCATGGGTTGGGATCGCTGGCTGTGGCTAGTTAGAGGAGGATTTCTAGACAATGCTGCTGTAGCTTTTCTGTTCGCCGTCTCCATTCAGACTTGCTAAAATACCTGTGTGTGGTATGTAATGCTCCGAGGTTGAGCTTCTGCAGGTTTTGCTGCTCATGCTTCATTCTTAAAATAGGCTTTCACTCTAAGGAAGTAGTTATGATGGGGAGCTTCTTAACATGATGTCTTTGGGAAAAGACTGTTCGCAGCTACCAGATTGCCCCCCTGGTGTAGCCTGCTGCACTGGCTGTGTTTGCCCTCCTGCTAAGATTGTAGTTCAAGCAGTGGCAGCTGAAGTAAAAATACTCAGTGTATGTGCAGGAACTGAAGTGCTGTAGTGGCCCAAAAACGCTGTTACTGTCCTTGAATTGTCCTTTCCTTTCTGGCTCATTATTTCTTTTTGAGCCAGGATGTGCTCTCTGACTTCAGTGGAAGTTGGGTGTGTGTTAGAGTTTTGTCATGCATAAGCCATGTTTCTCTCTACTGTAAGAAAAGGTGCTTGTTGCAATGTGGAACCTAGCAGAACTTGCTTAAAAACTCACTGGCCTGTGTAAGTGAAAGGGGTTCTCATAAGACACCATATTTAAACTCAGAGAGAAGGTTCCTTAACCGTTAGTCTTTGTTCATTTGTGCTACATGGGATTTTATTGTATTTGCATTATGGTCGAGAAACACCATGTGTATTAGTCACCAGACAAACACGTACCTGGCAATAGGCGTGCTGTGAAGAGCAAGCCTGTATTTCAAAGAAAAAATCTTCTTTTTTGTGCATCTGACAGCACTTTTTGTGTCTAATAATGGCATTTTCTTTTCCATTCCCCTTTCTCCTTTGCTTGATCCCACAGGGAGGTCATAATTCTGTGATTTTCACCAAACTCTGTTGCAATGCAAGTGAGTGTGATGTGATAAATTCAGCATTATGACGTCACTTCGTGATCATCAACAGAAGATGGGGTATGTGGGAGCAAATACTTGTGTAAATTCAGATCACTGTGATAAATGATGGTCATGGTAGGAGGCCAAACAGGTGTGAAAGCCTTTTCTTGGATGGTAATATATTGGCAGTAAAGGCTTTCTGTTTCTGTGCCATCAAATGTTTCTAAGTACTCATTGCTGCTGCAGAGGCTGCCTTGACACTTCATGTATAAGTGTAATATACACTGTTGTGTTTGCTCACCGGTATATTACTTTTATACATGGAATTTGATACTAATATTTGGAGCTTTAGTGTTAAAAAACATAAATACATTTAAGAGTCTTGGGCTATTTAGAATGGGGGATTTGGAATATATTTATGTAAGTTCTAGGATATTAGTATGCCTCAGGCATAAGCACTGAAGAAGTGTTGGTACTAATGCTTACCCTATGTATCCTTGCTGTCCTTTAAATGCTGTGCAGATATGGTTCAGAATTTAAAAATGCTTTAACACAATTTCAGATCAATGTAAGGGTTTGTTGCATTGATTAGTTTCTGAATTTACTGTAACTAAAATAGTTAAGATCCTTTGCAGTGTGCAAGTTTGAAAGAAAAAACATATATTGTATATATGTTAAGTGTTGCCATTTTCCAGTGTTGTTATTCCTGAGTCATTCATGGAGGAACAGGAGAGGTTTTGAAACAAGAAAAAAAAGTGGGTTTTTTTAAAGCTATGGAGTCTGTCAGCTAGATGTGGTCAGGTAAAGTTGGTAATTGCCACACTGTTGGCTGGTGACCTCTCAGGATGATGGGGTTCCATTAGCCACCTTCTCCAATCTACCAGTCAATGTAAAGATCAACCTATATGACAGGGGACAGTGCAATAAAAAGTATTGACTAGTGACTGCTTAACAAAGATGCAATGGAGTTACAGAGATGGAATTCTGGTCAGGGGCTTGGGATGAGTGGGTTCAACAGCAGGTCCATTATATAGACAGGAAACCAGGTGGAGAAACTACTCAAGGTTTCACGAGAGTTGATTAATTCCTCATTCCTACTGCAGCATTTGAGCAGTGAGAATATTTTGTAGTTTGTGCAGCATGCAGCAAACTTCTATTATGGGCAGCAGCAGTAAAGTTCTGACTAATGAAAAGGAAAGCCCCTGACCAGCAGGTTGGGTTGGTGTCTGTGCACATAGGATAAAAGTGAGTGTTCAGAGTAGAAGTGGTTTTGGGGGTTTGGTTTTTTTTTGTTTTGAAATGGAAAGGCAGTAAAAATGACAGATAATAATCAAAGCTTTATTTGCAATAAACGTCTTAAATCCTGAAGTTGTTTTACCCTGTTGATCTTCAATGTCTGAAAGTCATTATACATCTTTGTTAACAAGTTTGTGTTTGTGCTGCCAATGATTTGATTAAGTTTTAGGGTAGGTTGTCTTCTTTTTTCTTACTAATACTTTTATGGTCTTAAACCTTCAATACTGTAAATGCTGACACATGTAAAATATATGAATAACAGCCATATATGAATGGTGGGTTTTCTTTTTAGCCATAAGTGTTTGCAGGACGCGGATGTTGGTGTACTTCCATCACGAGATATCCTTATTCCCAATGTTGTCTGAATTACTGTGTATTGAATTCCTTAAAAAAGTCCCTATAGCTGAGGATTATCAGAACTTAAAGTGATACTTCAGAAGCTCAAAAGAATTAAAATGTCAGGTCTAACTTTAATACTAGAAGGAAAGTTACTAATATAGGTTTCCTCCTGTGTTCTACAGTCTGTCCAGTGAAGATGCTGTGTGAGGCTGCTTTGAGATGCTAACAGGTATCTTGAACTTTTGGTTTTCCAGTGCAGCATCTCTGAGTAATATTTTGCTGTAGGAAAAGACTAAAATCTTGATATTCTTTAAAAGCATTTATTCACCTCTCCCAACAACCAGAGCAAAACCCCAGCTGGTTTTATTTCCATGATTTCAAAGGTTTTCTTAAGTAGAAATGAGTTTAGTTTGTCTTGTATCCTTAAAAATATATATGAATATATCATGATCATCTCTTCACAATTAAGTATGCTCCCATTACTGACATGCCCTCATCTCCACTGTCATTTATAACACATCTAGCGGGAGAGCTCCAAATTAGTGTAAAATCGGGTTTTGTCATGCTTCAGCCAGTTGGTGTATCCAAATGGATGTATCTAAACACACTGAGGAGAAGCTCTGCTCCAGGAAGAGCAGTGGGAAAGAAATGAATCTGAATTAATTTTGTACTTTAATTAAAATATCCTTGTGGGCAGATCCAAAGCTTATCAAATTGTTATATATAACATGTTTTGTTTTAAAACAGGAAAGTGTCTCCTCTAAAGGGAAAACAAGTAAGATTTGCTTTAGTAGCTAAAACAAATAGTGAGGAGGATGTTTATGGCATTTGTCCAATGTGGCTACTTTTTATTCTGGAAGCCCTTTCTAAAACTGGAGCTATCACACATATATATATATATATATATATTTGGAGTCACATCCAGCTTCTCCCATCCTGCAAAGAACATTTTTTCTTCTTTTTTTAAGTCTATAACTGAATTCCAAATTTATTCCTTAAATGTGTTTTGAAAAAAGAACAACATTTGAGATCTCGTGCCAAATTAATTTCAGATGTTCCTGAATATTTAATGGAATTGGTCTTTGTTGTTAACTTTTAATCGATCCATTTGCAGCTCTATTAGAAACGCAGGAACCAGCAGTGGTAATCTGTGACCTGAAAACGGATCACAGAAACATGATGAAATTTCTCTGGCATTGTAGACTTTGTTTTGATAGTCTGATGTAAAAAGCTCAGGGAATTCATCCCTGAACTAAGTGTTCAGCATCCTTTCCATCTCTGCACGCTGTGACCGTGTGCCCCCCTAACGCAGTGACACCCTCCAGCCAGATTTCCTCCACAATCTGTCAATGTCATGACTTCATGCCTGGCTGGCAGGGCTTAGCAGAGAGTGCCATGGGTTATGCTTTTCCCTCTCTGATAGCCTCAGCCTTTCCAAGAGAGCTGGGCTCTCCAGAGTCTGAATTCTGCATCACAGCACATATTGCTACCAATAATGCTGTTGGTTCCAAGGCTGGAATTTCAAAGCTGTCTGACAGGAGTGTTGAGTGAATGTTAAATTGCTAACAGCAAATTTCTACCCAGAAATAAACCTCAGATGGTCAAAATGCATTTAGATTTCTAATACCATTGAACAGTTTCGTGACAATCAAAACACACTGGTCTGTCTAAAACCTCTTCTGCTCTCTAGAAACTTCAGTGAAAACTGTAGGCATTAAATCTGCATTTTTAGCAGCTGTTCTTCTTAACTGTATCTTTAATCCAGCTCTTATTACTGCTACTGCAGTTACTCACTTAGTCAAGTAACAGCCCTAAGAAATCTGGAGGTTAGCAGTGCTCTAACAAGTTTGTGAAATGCAAAGAACAATTTGCACAATGCAGCCCTAAAGACGATGTAATAGAGATCATCCTCCTTAATAGCCTGCTTAAATCCTTGACAACTTACAGTAGTAGATCACTTTCTTCTGAATCCAAAGTTTAACTTCTCCTGCATTGTAATTTTATAGGGAGAAGAAGTGGGTGACAGTTGGCGACACGTCCCTAAGGATTTACAAATGGGTACCAGTAACAGAGCCTAAAGTCGATGATGTAAGTATCCTGCAGATGTCTTGCTTTTTTCAGGATGCAGACACTTATGTTTAGGGACAGTCAAAAGAAATAGGCTCGCTATTCTTTGAGCCTTAAAGCTAAGTCTGGTGTGGGTCTTGCAAGTGTTTGAATAGAAGAGCTCTAGGGAAAAGCTGCGCTCTGCAGATGATGGCACAGTGGGTGGCAGTCTGCCTGCAGTCAGCTTGGATCAGGTCTCAGATAACTGTTAAACAGGCAGCTTGGAACTGATTTTTGAAACCTTTCTCTAACATAATAACTGGGAGGCAGGGAGGGGAGGCTGAGATAGAGATTACTTTTCTTTCTGTGTGATGTTTTAAAGGCAAGTAGCTGGTTTGGAACTGTGCAGAGGATGTTCATCTGTGCATCACTGCTGTTTTGCTCAAAAATAGGTGCAAAGCACTGAAGGTAGGAAAAATCTGGTGGGACTGAGAGTCCTTTGTTATTAAGATGTCCAGCCCAAGCAATACAGCAGACATGATCCTATTTATAACATATGTTTTCTCTGGACATTTTGTCTGTGCATCCTGTTTATGTTCTTAGTGTTCACTATTCATGAGCCATGCTACAATCATGTAGCATTAAAAGTGTAAAAATCAGAGTAGATAGGGCTTACAATTATATTTCTCCAGATGAATGTTGCTCTAATTTTATAAATTGAAATATCGTTATAGAGAGAAAATTAACCATGGTACCACAGGAAATTAATGATACAATAGAAAATACATCCTAAGTTTGGATGTGTGCTGTGCTTTTACTTTATTTGACATAAGAGATAAGACCTATCCAGAAGAAAACTACTATGTTAAATGTGAAAAATGATGATTTTTCCAGCCAAGACAGTGATCTTGTCATAGTCAAAGCACAAATTCAAGACCTACTTTTGATTAGCACTGCTTAAACAGAGTTTGTTTCTTTCTATACCTTTGGTTGTACCAGTGACTGTCAGAGTTGCGGTAGAGCCTCTTGTGTTCTTCCAGTGCTCAAGCAGCATCTCTGTGGAGTAATCCCTTATGAACTGGGAAACGCTTCCTGGTTTCTTAAAGAAACTTGCTTGTTATTTCTAGTTGTCAAATGTTTGGTCTTGATTTTATTATTTGTAATACATAGGGGAAAAAAGCTGTGCTATGTATGTGAAAGAGAGGTTTACGATACTTAGGCTTACAGCTTCTGGTAATTGTTTTCCCACAGGTAAGGTATGTGCATGACGGGTACTATGGAACCTTAAAATAAGGTTTCTAGTGAGTTTCTGAATGAATTTTCAAGGAGACTGGTACCTGAAGTCAGATTCTCTGTTAAGAAGAATAGGTTTATGTAACAGTCTCTCTGTGCAGAGGTTAATAGTACGTTTTCAGCCATCATCTTTAGGTTTAGGCTCCAGATTTGCTGAAATTGGGACACTTGTTCAAGACCAGCTACTTTAGCATCCTGCAGCCACGTTCTGTTCAGTACAAGCAGAGGCCATTGGGCAGCTGCAGTTGAGCAGGCTTGATGTTGTAAGGCTTCTGACTTTTAGCTCTGGAAGTTCTCACAGTTAAAACAAGTGCATCTATTTTGAAAAGTAAATACCAGGTAGGAGTCATCTTGGTGGTTTAATTTTGCTATGGACATCCATTTATATCTGATTTCACCCACCTGTGAGGAGCAGACACTACTTGCTTTTTACTAGACTAGAAAAATGGGATTTTTTTATACTTCATGTTTCAAATGGAAGTTGGCTTTGTGTTTAGTGAACACAGATTACATTATTTGCCCCCTTCTATATGTTGTTTCGGAGACACTGACGTTTCTTTGAAGTAGAATTAGCTAGGCTCTTTCCTCCTCCTAGTTTAACAAGGCTGTTGTAGGACGTCACACTTTGATGCCTAACCCTTTCTAAGAAAACTTTCCAGCTTAAATTGCTCACAGTCATTTTCAGTATTTCTCTTGTGGCAAGAGTGTCCTTTTCACCTTGGGAAACAAAGAAACAAAACCACTAAACCTCAGAGAGGTTATGTCCCTTCTGAACTTTCATTTTGCAAAGCTGAGGAAGTGCGTGTGCTTTCACGTCTGTTTCACATATTAGGGAATAAAATCTGACTTCTCTGAAGCAAAAAGACGATTTAAAAATGAGCCTAATAATCTGTTTAAAATAGAGGGAAAAGTCCTTCCAGATATCACTTGTTGAATTTCTTCTGCAGTCTTAGACAGTATTTGGCTGTGGTTTAGTTCCCTCCTTGGAGGACACTGTCTTTTCCGAACGGATGGGTTGCCGGCCGTTCTTCCTGGAGTCAGGCTTTGAGCTGTGCTCTCTGCAGGCGGGCAGGGTCCTGCAGAAGCAGTCAGTGCAGCTGGCTCCTTCTGCTGTGAGACTTGATTACATCACCTCCTCATTGGAAATGCTGCATCCCTCAGCAGAGGCAGATTCCCCACGTGATGGATGCCACTGTCTCCTCCTTTGTTTTAGTGCTTTCAGTCCATACTGTTGTTCAGTCATGAGTATGTTGTGACCTACTGTTCGCATAGGACTGTCTCGCTTACGTGCTTTGTTTTAGGCCAGTCTGATTTTTCTTATTAGTTGTAATCTATTAGTTGTAATGAAGAAACAGCATTCGTTGGAGGAGGAGGTCTCTGCAGTGTTGCTCATTGAGATACAGGTAAAAAGCAGTCTCTGTAGTGTTAGAATTCTACATCTGTTATCATTCCTGTTGTGCATGCACACATATTGTCTAGGTGTATTCTGCAAGCTTTCTGATATGAAAAGGAGAGTGTATTGAGTTTTGTAGTGGTGTGTTGTTATGCATAAGCCATACAGTGAGCAGAGCTATAAGCTCAGGACACAAGTCTTAGCCCTGCCTCTGATCAGCAGTGTTCTTCCTTTGTGGTATAGCAGAGGTTCTCTTGCCCTTGCTTTTGGAGCTCTTTTGCCTGAGTACAAAGTTACCAGCCAGCACTTGCCAGGTTCTCCAACTCAGTTGGAGCAGGCCATTTAATCATCGTGCCTCAGATCCTCTGTTTGTAGAATGAGGGGTATTGATAACTTTTGGACTTTTAACAAAAATTGTGCAGTTGTTTGAAGATGAAAGACTTAGAATCATTTAGGTTGGAAAAGACCTTCAAGATCACATTTAAGTGCTAACTGTAACTATAATTTATACATAAAACCCTGTTTATCTTAGTGTTTTGTGTCATGTATTAGAAAACCAGCCCTGCAGTTACTGGGACTAATACATTATTGATAATGTCAGTTATTATTACACTGGCTTTTTTTCTCACTTGGAATTGTGAGATACAGAAGTAATGAGTGGAAAGGGTGTTCTATTGCAGCATGGGTTTCTGTTCATGGCAGTAGTCTAATTTGGTTGTGATGCCCTTTGTTTTTCAGAAAAATAAGAATAAGAAAAAAGGCAAAGATGAAAAATGTGGGTCTGAAGTGACCACTCCAGAGAACAGCTCCTCCCCAGGGATGATGGACATGCATGGTGAGTGGGAGAAGGGCAGCCCCTATTACACAGCTATGACAGTATAAGCCAACAGTGTCAGATTCTCTGTTGCTCAGATGTATGGATGGTATGGTTGAGTCAGTGAAAACAGCATCAGATACTCATTTGGTACCTTGGAACTCTCTTCCGTGGATATACTAACAGTTGTTTAAATACTGTTTTTATTTGGGCTGTGTGTGGGGAAAAGAATTGTTAGAGGAGCTAAAAACAGAGTATCTAGCATTCAAAATGCTACACTTGTGTGAAGTAGTAACTCTTGGGTTTGCTGCTTGAAGATCCAGAAGACCCCCAAAGCCTCAGTGGCACTTACTATAATTTGTGCAGGTTATGTAGGTGATTGAGGTCAAAAGAATTCTGCAAGAACCAAAAAAGTGAAGTCTGGTTCTGAGGTGTCTTCCTCCTGCTTCAGGTTGAGGAGATCAGTGGGTTAAGAAAACACTGAGCTTTTTGCATGATAGTCAGGCACTATTAGGTCAGCTTTTTAGTGTGAACTGCTGTTGAGTGTTTACCTGGTGTTTAGGACAGAGGAGCTTGCACAGCTCAGCTCTGTTTCAGTTTTTACCTTCTAGGTGTTTGGATAACAATTCTGGCTGAGAATGCCGTATTTGAGCTGATGAGAAGGGTTCACTTTTTAGTGGGTTGTAAATTTTTCATTTCACTTTTATTTGCGTTTGTATTGCCCCCCGGTTGGTTTTTGCAGTGTTCCCAGCAAGTGTGCTCTTGCAGCTAAAGGACTGAGCAGGATGTTCACAGATCTGGGTTAATTTTTCATGTTTCAAACTTCATAGCTTTTGCCTTAGTCAGATCATTTAATTTTCTGATGTCTTGTCTCTCCCATCCGTGATGTGAATATACTGCTTGCTCTTCTATAGTTTATTATTTGTGAGTTTAAGCCACACTGTACAATTTCATTATAAACTGACACTGATCTGACTTCATGCTGCTCTGAAAAGAGATGGTCCCATCACGAGTCATGTGTTCCTGAAGTCCTTTGGATGTAATGATTGTCCAGATGCAGAGGGAATGAGATTAACTTGCATGCTGGTGATTTAACTAACAGTGTTTTGCTGGGTTAGTTTTCTTTGGGGAGCAGGAAATTCCCTCTTTGGTTATCCATGGTTGGTAATCTGTCTTAAAGATTACAGGCAGTTGCGCCCCACTGCTATCCATGAAATATTAGCCAAGATCTGTAAACCACTGTCACCGCCTTTCTCAGGAAGAGGATGCAGGCAGAGTATTTCCTGTTAACTACAGAGGCAATCTGTGCTGCATAAAGTTACTGTGATCCAAGGTTTTGGACAATTACCACGTGGAAACTGTTGATATTGGGAATGGATGTTGCAGTTTGACTTCGATGGGGTTTTGTTGGGTTTGTAGCTGTTGGGTTTGTTTTTTTGCCTTCAGGGGACAATTGGAAAACTGCTCATCTGAACCTTGTAGTGATGGGTGTTTGTAAGCTGCAGCATGAACACTTTACTAGCCCTGTGTTATATGAGCTATAAAACGAGACTGTTGTGTCTTGTGGTATGTTTTACTCATATTATGAAGTTTTGGGTTCTTTTGGACAAGATCTGAGTAAAACACTCTCGTTTTTAATGTATAAAATTAGTAAGAGCACTTTGAAGTTCTCTGATTTTTGATAACTGATAGAAAACTCCTGTCTTGCAGCATAAGATGCAAGAGCAAAGATAGTGGTAACGTGGGAAAAAGTCTAAATGCTTGGACTGCATTGCCAGCAAGCTAAGATTGTATCCTCTGTTATCAGGGAATAAATATGGAAGAATTCAGGGGTGTTTTTTATCTTGTCATATGAGACATTCTTGGTTTTAACTCATTTCTTAACAGATGACAACAGCAACCAGAGTTCAATAGCTGATGCTTCTCCAATAAAACAAGAAAACAGTAGTAATTCAAGTCCAGCACCAGAACAGAACTTGGCAACACAAGCAGACGGCACTGAAGTCAAGTCTGACGAAACTCAGGCAGAAGCAAAGGAGCAGCCTGGTTCAGAAGGTAAGCTGAAAAGACCACCTTTCAAGCCAAACAACAACCATTGTCCTTTAGTGTATCATTTATTTGCTTATCAGTTTTAAAAACTGAATAATAACAATTTGAAAGATGGTTTCTGAATTCTCAGTGGTGACAAAATGGGTTTTAATCTCTCTGGTTTACTGGTGGCGCTGTCATAGAACTGGAAGGGTGAGATTGACATCAGGGTCTTTTGAGAGAGGAAACAAACAACATACTTGGTTCATTGTTGTCATAATCTCGGTCTTGAAAGAAGGAATACAGTAATCTTTGAAATGGCTGCTCCTGTAATCACACGAGTCTGAGGAACTATTACTTCTGTAGATCTGTGAATGTTCATTATGTAGTGTGACAGTAAAACAGAGGTGAGATACTTTGAAATGACTCTTTTAATTGTGTAAACTCGAATGTAATTGCTTTTAACCTGCTAATTATTTATTCAAAAGTTAGCTCTGAATCATGTCCTAATTTTCTAAAAGCATTACAAGATTGTTCTGCTGTTGTGCACAGATTAAAAATACATGTGGGTTAAGAGATTGTTCTGAACCTCACTCTTCAAATGGTATTTTGGGTAATTGAAACGTGCTCCGTATTTATATTCTTGGGAAGATAACTTTCTTCATCCTATTATAACAGATAAAAGATGTCCTTAACATCATTCTAATGATTTGGTTGCAGAATTCTTCCCATAGCAAAGCAATTAAATTATGCCCTCCTGATTTAGTTCTTAGCTCAGTAGAGCCAGTAACCAATTTAAATTTAGAGCTTTTATCTCAGTGGTAGCAGGGGATGGGTTAAGTGTGTTCAGTGTTGTCATTGCTAATTGGGGTTAAAATCTGACAACTGGAGTTGCAATAAATCAAAACACCGTATCCCACAAATTGAAACACACGGAGCAGATTCGGGCACGTAAACAGCAAGGATTTTCTCCTAGGTCTAATACTGCCTGAACGTGCCCGTGTGAAGTTGTTACGTGGCCCACGTGCTCCCCTGACTAAATTTAGGTCTGGGAAAATCACAGCAAGGTCTGGATTAGTTCCAGCGCCAGTTACTGTAGAATGAAAGGGAGAAGAAATGGAAGAAAACCCTTGTTATTGAGGTGGGCTTTTTTCTATTGGTCATAGGGTGTGTTTAAAAAAATACTAAATAATGACTTACCTACCAAAGCGTTATATCAATCAAACCCTGAGGAAATTGTTCAACTAAATAGGGCTTATGATCTTGTACATCTATCTCATGTTACTACACTCAAATCAGGGAGGTCCCTTAAAGCTACGAGGCAGTTTTGAGTGGTCAGAAATGCCTAATGTGGGCTTCTTAAAGAAAACAAGTGTATTTGGAACATTTTGCTGTGTACACAAGTCATTGCAGGCATCAGAATTGCTCAGGGCTTGGCAGTTTAAAATCTGGATACCCCTGCGCAAAGGTCAGCAGCAGAGTGAGTGGTGGTCGTCTGTAGCAACTGGAAGAGAACAGGGCTGCTCTAAGCCATCTGTTGTGGAAGCTGCTCTAGGTGTGTGTTTGTCACAGGCTGATGGGCCCATCACAGGGTGCTCTTTAGCTCAAGTTGCAACGTGTGCTGAGATGTGCACAGCAGAAACTGGAATTCCTTCTGACCCTTGGGTCTTGTTTCTTCATCAGTATGAACATGCTTTGCTGGTGAGACATGGAAAGGAAGATGGTTCTGTCCGAGTTTGCTGGATGTGATCTTTGAGACTACTCATCTCTTGAATTCGGTCAGAGGAAATCAAGGAAATACTTATGATGCTTTTCATACAGTACACCACAAAAATATCCATTGGTTGCTGGTTAATGCATCTTCATTAACCAGTGTTGTCCAAGTAAATTTGATCTTGCATTTCTCTTCATCTAGAATGAATTGGTATATTTTTTGGGTTAGGGACTTCATGAAACTTGACTCCATGCCTACTTTTGAGTATTGAAGTCAAAAAGGATTTTTAAATGAGGTGAAGGAAGGAATGGGTTCAGTCCTTACAGTGTTCTTGGTGTGGGTATGGAAGGAAACATAACTGACCTTTTACAGTCAAAGTTTGGGTTTGGCTGGTGGTTTTTGTTGTTTGTCTCTGCTTCTGGACATCCAGTGTCAAAACTGCCAGGATCTGAAGTGCCCCTGTGTCCTCTTCAAGTGAATGGATGCTTCAACCTGAGTACTCTTTAAGTCTTGCTTGGAGAGTTTCAAACAAAACAAAGGCCAAAGAAGCAAACAACAAATTAAAAACCCAACCAAACAACAAACAGGGAAATTGGAAGCAGGGAAGAGCTGTGACAAGCTGGAAAACTCCACAAGCATGCACCTGAATTAAAAACTCTACCACCTCAATGGTTAAGCTGGTTACATTCCTAAAGTTTATCTTTAAAGCAGTATCAAGAAGAAAGTGGATTGCAAATATATGTCTGAATTTCCATTCAGGTAATAATTCTCTCTCCTTAGCGATGTAGTTTTAGATCCATTCGTTATCATCATTCAGCCCTTTTTGTAGCTGCCCTTCTGGTTTGAAGCAAGTTGCTGTCAAGTGGGCAGCCCCTTTGCAAAGCTGATGTTCAAACTTGTTTGCTAATAGCATTGACATGATTCTGTGTTAGCGGGTGTGCGGGAGCTTAGCTCCCTCTAGGGACTGAGCCCAGCACTTGTGTGTTGCCAACATCATTAATGTTTCGTGTGTGGGTGAAATGTATGGGTTTGGGGTGTTAGAATTGAGAAGGCACCCTAAAAACCCCTGCTGAATGCTTTAATTTATCTGCTGAAAATTATTTCTTGTGATTTCAGATACCTCTGATGAACAGAATTCACAGTCTTCAATGGAAAATTCCATGAATAGTTCAGAGAAAGCAGAAATCCAGTCCTCTGGAGAAAATGATATAATTACAGAGGCATCTAAAAACTCTCAGGTAACTTTCAGCACAAAAGCCTGGTTACTGGGAATTTGGAAAGGAGTATTTTTACTAAACAGCACATGTAAGGAGGCCAGTTCTGTATTTAGACTCATTTCCAAAGGTGAGGAGTGGAGTTGTGGAGTATTCAATGGCCATGTATCTGGTTTTGTGGCTCACTGGACTGGCTTCTTGCATTTCACATGGTTTGAACAGTAAGACTAGATTGGTCTGGTTTACTTTTCACTTTCCTAAACCAGGCTGTGTTACTTTTGTAAGGGAATATTAAAACTTAATGGTAATAAATGGCTTGGACCTAACCTATTGGACAGGCCCTTCCGAGAGCCAGTCAGAAGTAAAATACCTTCTACAAAGGTAAATGCATATAGCAGTCAGGGAAGTTACTTTTGGTGGGTAGGATGTTTGGATGTTCTCTCACTGCTCTACTGGAAAATGGTGTGTGGGAGGAAGGGATTACCCTGGGCTTGTCCTGCTCACACTGAGTCCCTCAGGCAGAGCACTGCTCAGTCCACTGGTTTCCCTTGGGGGTGGGTGGTTTGTTTCAGTGCACTCCTCACACCTTCCAAAAACCTTGCGTGTTCTGTCCTGTAAAGATTGTTTTGGCTGCAGCAGGAGAAAACCCATGTGCGCTTGGTGCAGGTTGTGCTTGAGCGTGGAGCTGAGGGAAGGCCGGGTATAACCATGCATCAAGGCTGTTGCTTGGAATATTCACTGTGGTTTTTAGCCCGGAACTAGAATTTTGCCCTTTGTCTGTAGACGACAAGAAGTGTAAAGATGTTTGAGGTAAGATATAAATAGAGGAGTGGCTTCAGGAAGTAAATGCAGTTGGTCATGTCATTTATCACATCCAGGGATGCTTTGTGCTTTACAAATGCCACACCAGGGATTTGTTCTTGCTTTTGGTTTGCTTGGTGGTGCCTGAAATTCAGTGCAATGATAACACGGTTGTTTTTCTTTTCCCCCTCCTTAAGGACTCTGAAGGAGTGCCACCTTCTAAAAAGATGAAAGTAGAGGCTTCCCAACAAAATGTTGAAGAGATTTAGACTATAGATTTTTCTGGTCAGTTTTTATGTAAGGTACATCAGTGGGCTTAATTCTAGAACAACCTTACTTAAGCATCTTCTCTTGGATGAGGACAGAACTCCTAACTTTTCAAGTTACCAAGCAAAAATCCAAGAAAGCCTAACAAAGGTTTAACTTCTCAGACACTGAAAACTTTCTTCCTGTGAAACAAACGTTGAGAACTTTTAAGTTACTGTCTCTGAAATGGTTGGAGTAAACAACTCAGGAGGGGTCTACGCACTGTTTCTAAAGTCAAAATTACAATTATGTTGCTGCTGTATTATTTTTTTGTGTGTTTTTCATTTCTCTATTTAACAATGTAAGATATTTAAGGATGGTACAGGTCAGGTATTAGCTTTCATGTGAAGTTCATTGTTCTGGCGTGACGTCTGCTTTTGTTTTGTGCCTTGTGTTCTGAAAACAGTGCTAAGTTTTAAAGAAGTTGTTTTGCAACTGTCTCCTTTGCAAAGTGGCCTATGTTTGTATAATGCCATGGAGTGAGGCTTGTTTCTCTTTTCCTTTTCTGTTTGGGGTTTTTGTTTTGTTGTTAATTTTTAAATCCCTGGTGCTTCAATTTTTAATACAGGTCAGGAAGCCATTTTCACTCTTGGAGTCCAAGGAGAAAAAGGAGCTTGATATTTTATGTTAGCAGCTATAGTGGAGATCTTTTATGAATGCATGGCATTCGCAACTGTAAATTTGGTCTTCTAAGTACTTAACTTCATCAGAAGTTAACATGATCTGTTTACCATTTATAGTCCAGATCTGAATATATACTATAACACAGCAGTTAAAATACTTAAGTATTAGGTCCAGATCTCTGTACTGGGTACAACTTGCTTTACAGAAAACTTCCACTATGTACATAAATAGGATCAAAGGGATTAATGCACAGTGAATTTATTTTCAATTGGTCTTTTTTGATATCATGTTTTCACTGAACTGGATTTCACTGTACTGTTTCTGTATAAGATGTTTACTTCTGTGTTCCAGGTTAATACTGTATTAGAGGGTTCCTTTCTCCTTTCAGCAAGTCTTGTAGATAAGCCTTGTTGTTTCCATAGTCCCTACATCACTGTTAGGTTCTTCCTAACATTGGAAAAGTTTCTTCCAAGGATGCTGAAGCGTGCTAATGTGAAACACTATGGACAGGCACGAAGTATGTGCAGCTCCCTTCCAATTGGTGGCATGCAGAGGTGCAAAACCATCTGCATCAGGTCGCAGGGGCCTGATCTTAGAGTGGGCTTTGTGCTTCCAGGGTGAGCTTCCAGTTAGAAATACCCGGTGGTGGTAGGAACCGCTTATTTCTTCCTTCAGTGCACGCGCATGCACGTACATACAGATGGATGTACACACGTGTCGCTGCATCAGGCCCTGAGTCTGTCTTCACTCTGTGTGGGAGATGGAACTTGTCGTTTAAAATATGATCTCACAGCTATGAAAACGGTTTATAGTTTGTAAGCTAAGAACTGTAAATACTTTTTTAAATGGGGAGGGGAAAACCAACATTGCTTCCAGTTGATACACTTTGAGGATTAGCTCTTCATTAAGCTTATTTAGTTCTGGGTTCTCCAATAGTGAAAATGGCTTGTACTTAGACTACTGTTGCTTTTGCAATTACCACTTTATTATGAGAAACAATAAGGGAATGGGGGGGAGGGAATAGAAGGAGGGTGGAGTGGGGAGCCAATACTGACCTTCCATAGGATGTTTGTAGGATTGGACGCCAAATAACATCTGACACTCAGTTCCAGAACTCTTCCTTTATGTTGAAATAAAACCTTTTGGATTTTAACTGAATAAAAATTGGATTGCAAATCATTCATGAAAACAGCGTGCTCCCTAATAAGTTTTTGGGATTTCTGGTCTGATCATGAAGTCCATTAACATTCTGAAAATAAGGAAATGAGGAGCCAAAAAAAACCACAAACCCTATATTTGCACAATATATGCAATGAAACGGTAGAATTCTCTCTTGAATTGTGTGTATGCCTAAAATGTGGATAACTGGTCAATGACGATTGATTTGTATGTATATTGCATTCAGATTTAAGTGATATTTTGTGAGAAGTTCTATTGATATATTAAATGGGCAAATCTAGAAAGATTCAAACGTAAGAATATTTTTGCTTTGCTAACTTTCTGTTGTTTTTAATGCTAAAACAAGACGAGTCTGATGCCACCTCTGACACTAGTCATGTTTACTAACCCCGGTCTTCAGGTGCATCGCAGCAAGTTTTTAACTTTAATTTTGTAGACGTTTCCAAGGGAGTAAATAGACTTTTCATTTAGAAACTAATTCCTGTACTTTAGGAAGAAATAAAATATATAAATAGCACTAAAAATACCTCAAAATTTTTCATTAGATAGAAGCATTTATTGGCATTATTGACATCAACAGGTTTAATTATCAATTTCCTTTTCTCTCCTGTGGCTTCTGCTCAGAACTGTTTGTTGTTCTGTGGCTTACAAGACAAGGCATCATAACCATATTTATTCCTAGAGGCTTTATTTCTGAAGTAGTAATGGTTTATTTACAGCTTATACAGAATACATTCAGAACTGTTCTTTTTTTTTTCAAACCAGAGATTCTAGTGACAACAGACAACTGAACAAGCAGATAGATTTGGGTTCCTTAGACCCGTTATTGTCAGTCTCTAAGGAAAGAGACTTTGACATTATCTGGTATGAAGAAATCCAAAATAGTGTCTAAGACTGTTATTAGTCTTTTTTTGAAGTGCCTGATAACATTTATGGGCCAACGGATGTGATTAAACACATTTTAATGCCAGAAAGTACAGATGGGACCAAACCAGAACATCAAATTCAAATCAACCTAAGGTTTGAAGCCAGATTTAAATCCAGCTTCTTTTTGGTTTGGACCTATCTCTACCAGAAACTTGGTTTATGAACTCCCTGTAAAAGGGTTTATTGAAAGCATTGAGACGTGGAGCAGAAGGAGAGATGTCATTTTCTTCAAGCTGACTGAAAGTTCTCATACAGCTGACGTTTTAGAAATAGTGCAAATATCAAGAAGTGCTTCCTTGCTACAATGCTGAATGTTGGAGCTTCAGTTACAAATAAATACAAAAGAAAAAAAAAAGAAAAAAAAAGGAAATAAAAAATAAAAGACAAAAAAAGAAACTCGAAGCAAGTGAATTAGCTGAGTCTGTGGAACACGTAGGAAGGCCTTCCGGATAAGTGATTTACTCAGCCAAACATTTTATAGCAGAACTATTCCTTGGAATTTTTATGCTTGGGAAAGTAGTTGTTAAACATTCCAAAAAGTGCTGGCACTTAACAAAACAACAAAAAAAAAAATCAAGGCAGTCTGAAATACTGGTTTTGGGTGGCTCTCTTCATACATCAAACATTGTCATGTTTTGGAATGTTCTTTCTATCTAAGGGCCTGTTAGAAGGTGTAAAGAATTTTGTTTTCTTCAATACCTAATCGTTTTCCATCTTATGATTTGTGTGTGTGTGTGTTGTACAGCAGTATAATTTTTCACTTATTTATTCCATCGGTAGTTATGGTTTGTACAATGTACAATGGTTTCATTTCAGAAATAAAATAAAAAAATCACATGAACAACTGTGTGAAGAATTTTTATCAAGAAACTGAAGCTCAGTTTGGGTTTTCTTTTTAAATTCACAATAAATGTCTGGTTTTCAAAGTTGTATTTTTAAATGTGCATTCTGTGGTGGGGTCTCATTTGGTAATGTGAAGTGATTCACCTTTGAGTAGGCCACAGACCTGAGAGGGGTGGAGATAGTTTGTTGTAGCAAATAAATTTGGCCAATGTAATTACAGCAACCTGCAGGATAACTTGATCATTTAAGGTGCTAACTTGTGGTGGTAACTGAAATTGGAGGGAGGAGAGCACGGTGTGGAAACGTGCTTCAGTTTGGAAACATGCTCCAAAGTCTGATGCTGGCAAGGGTAAAACTCCTGGAGAGTTTTGGAAAGATTCTTTACGTTCAAGAGGGATATAAATATCCAGCTTATTTTTAGTGTTTGATGTGCTCTGTCCCAAAGCAGCCTGTGGTTTCACAGACAGCTGAACTGGGATGCTGGCTCACCCCTGCCAGAAGAGTAAGCCACAGCCAGCTTGCCTGCTCCCAGCTTGGTTTTGTTGCCTCCCTTGCATTCACTGGGTGCTCATAGCATCCTCTCCTCTACCACTTGAATTTGTTAACGTGAGGAGAAAAGTGCTCATTTTAGGTGTTTTTTTTTTCTTCTCTGGATTAGTAGATTAAATCAGCAGGCTTATATAAAGGAATTGTATATAGGGCGAACTGGAGAGAGAGAAAAGAACAGGTTAGAAACAAGGATGTAATTGAAGATGGGTCCCAGAAGTAAAGGCCTCTGAACAGGTAAGGCTTGTGCTGGTAAAGGGTGAAGGAGCAAGCAAGAGCGTAGCCTCAGAGCAGGGCATGGCTCTGGAGGTTGGCCCTGTGGTTTGCCCAGGAGCAGGAAGGGCAGAGGAGCCAGTGGGGTGGTGAGGGATGGCTGGACTCCAGTGCCTGCAATCAGCTCCACAGCCAGGCTGTGAGTAAGATCCCTTCAGCTCTTGTGCCTCATCAGAATGGGAATGCTTATCTTCCCGTCTGTAGATCTAGGAGGGTAATCTCTTACCACTAAGTGTTGTGGAGTACACTGCGGGTGTATTTTTAAACAGCTTGACTCTGTTCAGTGTGTTACAGCTGAATTCTGAGCAGGTAAATAGCTGTCTCCTCCTGTGCTAAAAGCCTGTGCTGTTGAAGGAACATCATCAGAAGATGGTGGCCTGTGTTTCACCTTGCGCTGCAGATTGCTGAAAAGAAAGAGTAAGAAAGGAAACAAAAGATGCTGCTGTGGTCCCTTAGTGTTTCCCTCTCTTCGAATTACTGTGGAGGAGGAGAGGATAGCTGGGAGCCTTGACCTGTTGCTGATCACCTTAATGCTGCTCTTAAAAAGGCAAACCGGGAGGTCTGTCTCGAAAATAACTGGATTTATTTTAAGGGCTGCTGCTTTCCAGGCACCTGCAGTGTTTACACCGAGGAAGCTAGAGAGAAAACCTTGAACTGCATCAAATCTTTGAGCTTAACACTGCTACAACTGTTCTAAATGATGGGCTGGTGTACTGCTAACTGCTTAGAAAAATCCATTCTACCTACTGACTTTATTTCAACAAGTAACCCCCCCCCATTTCATACAGGAAGAAGCAAGTGTGGCTTGCTTACAGTTTTGTGGGGTAGATGGATAGTCTGATGTCATGGAAGTTCTATATCCTGCCTGATGTGTGATTGGGATTTTCTTCTTTGTTTAGTTGAGGTTTACTTCTTAACAAACTACATGGATGATTTAAAATAGGTATTGTAAAGCTATGAATGTTGTTTTGAAATGTTTTCATTTTTAGGACTTAAAGTACTCCCATCAGGATGCCTTGCTGGGAGGCAGCATTGGGTTTTTTTCTGTCTCTATTTTAGGCCAACATTAATATAAGGGAGCAATAATCAGCTTTGAAACTAAATATCTCTGTGGCCTTTTCTGAAGAATTTAGCCCTGTGTGATGCTGACTAAGCTAAATGTTAGTCTTGAGTTTTAAGGATTTCTAACAGAGCCCTCACATGATACGATCATGCCTTACCGCTCCTTTCATGTGTGGGGAAGTATTTGACCTCCCATTCCTGACCTAAACACAGTGACCCGTCTTGGTTTCATGCTCTGTAATGGAATATATTAGATCACTGCAAGGGCATAACTGTGATACTGCAGAAATGCCTCTTCCCCCTGTGCCCAAGACTTGCTGTGTGTCTCCTGAATTTTCCTTGATCTTACTTCTAGTTTTACAAAGCAGAAGCACGTGGCAATGTAATGTTTGTTTTGTTTGGGTTTTTTCCCTTCCTGAGCGTGACTGGTTTTTGCTTTTATGTATGACTTCCTAGAACTGAGAGAATATAAGCAATTTAGTACAAATGGAGTATCCCACCTAGAACGCAGGTGCTCTGCTGGTGATGGAGGTTTGCTTTACAGGGCGAGCTAGAGATCTTTCCTCTTTGTTCACCCATACATATGTATATGGGCTCTTGTGCTGTAAGCTGCTCTTCTCTCCCCAGGCTAATACGTCTACTGTCGCTGTGCTTGCTTGGTGACTTACAGGATCCATTGCTTCCTTTACGCTTTTTAAGCAGGGTGAAATCTGATCTTTGCTGTCCCTGGATCAACCGTGCAGCCTTTATGCACGTACGAGCAGGTACCTGGGGTAGGTGTGAGCAGCAGGCTGGCAGTACAACCCCTGTCCTGACCCTTTCTCTGTAGTTGCAGGCTTCTTCTGGAGCAATTTACTGCATTAGTTTAAAGCCATTGAATGTTCCTAGCGCAGTCACTCCCATCATGCTTCAGCCAGCTCTGGGCTGTCCTCTGCATCTTCTCATGGTCATGAGTCCCTTCAGTTTAGGAATGGTTTCTGAGCCCCTTGACATCGTCCTGCTGATGGGAATGCCACGCTGGAGCCTTTAAACCAGCAGCCCCCAGAGAGGAGTGAGGATAGCCCTTGAAGCAATAGGAACGGGCCAGCAGCAGCATGATGACTCAAGGTGACTTGAGGTGACTGTTTGATGGGCAGTGGTGCAAGGGGAAGGGTGAAGCATGGCGAGTGTCACTTAACGGCCGTCTGTTGTGTTTGTGTGTGGAAGGAGGCGGGATGGTCCTGCCCTTTCCTCCGGTACCCGAAGGGCAGTGGCGGGAGGGAGAGCGGGCTCAGGGGCTGCCGTGAGGGAAAGCGACCTGCGGGGTCATGGCGGGCTGCGGCGTCCACTGAGGGAAACCGCCCTCATGGGTGCTTCCTGGTGGCCTTCGGCGTGGGCGGCGATGGCGCAGGGCTGTCCCTGAGGGGACGCTGCCTCAGGGGCGTCGAGAGGAAGCGGCCTCGGGGTGGCAATGGCGGGACGGGCCCTCCGCTGCGGGACCGGGGCTGAGGCGGGCGCAGGCCGCGGGGGAGGAGCGCTGCCGCTCCGGCTCCTTTAAGCGCGGCGGCGCGGCGCGGCGGGGGCCGGCCCCGGGCGGAGGCGGCGCAGAGCGGGCGGCGGGCTCGGCCGGCGGCAGCGGGGCCATGGCCGCCGACGTGTTCATGCGGCCGGCGCGGCTCATCGGGGCGGCGGGGCCGCTGTCTCCCCGTACGGAGCCCGACGAGGACTCGTCGGACACGGACGACGGGGGCGCCTCGCCGGGCGGAGGACGGCGGTGCGGGCCGCGGCGGGGGCAGCCCCCGGGCCCCCAGATCATCCACTCGGGCCACTTCATGGTCTCGTCGCCTCACAGCGAGCACCCGCCCAAGAAGGGCTACGACTTCGACACGGTCAACGAGCAGACCTGCCAGACCTACCAGTTCGGGGCGGCCCGCGGCGGCGGCGGCGCCGGGGGCCGCCTCAGCATCGACGCCTCCCTCACGAAGCTCTTCGAGTGCATGTCCCTGGCCTACAGGTACCGGCCGCCGCCCTGGGCCGCGGGGCGGGGGGGGGGGGCGCGGAGGGGCCGAGCGGGTCCCGCAGTGAGTCACGGCCGCGGGGGAAGCCCCGGTTGGGCGTTGCGGGGGGGACCTGAGGGCGAGGTGAGGTGAGGTGGGGTTTAGGCCTGAAGCGATCGGCCGGGGCTGTGAGGGCGGCCGAGCGGCGCCTTTAGGCGGTGGTACCCCCCCCCCCCCTCCACGCGTGGGACTTCGTGTAGCCTTTGTTTTCAGCGGACTTGAGGATCCTGCCGGCTCTTGCCCTAGGCCTGTGCCCACGGCGGCCAAGCGTGGCCGGGGATGGTGTGGGGTGAGCGGAGGGGTTGTCATTGCCGCCTCACCCAGGCCTGGGGGCGAGGAGAGGCGCTTGGGTGGAGGGGGGAGTGTGAGGGAAATTGGGACCTCATCCCGGCGAGGGACTGCGAGCTGCCCCTGCGGGCTCTCCGTGGCACCAGAAGGCGCTCAGCATCTCATGGCCAGGCTTGGAGTTAGTGTGGAGAGTCTCAGGAGAGAGGTCCTTAAAGGGCAAAGTAAACGCTGGTGCCCTGCTCCGGGTGAAATCGGCCGATTCTCCTTTTCCTTTTCCTCCTCCCCAGATTTTATTTTTATCCCAAATAGAAGAACGTGGGGTCTGTCATTGTTCCCTTTGTTCCGGTGGTAGTAGCACTTCCTGGGTTTATCTGCACTTTTTGCTCACACTTGAGTTTTGCTTTTCATCTGTTCGATAAGGCGTTATATTAGCATTTATCCCCTTTGTTTGCCATCCAAAATGGAGGCAGAGCTGTGGAATAGGGGTGTTTTGGGAAGATGTGTGCCCGCTTGAGTCTTTTGTTCCGTGTGAGATAGCAGAAACTGGATCCAGTCTGATGTTCACTACCCAGTGTATTTAGGAAGCTGATGGATGATGGAAAACACCTCTGAGCGTGTCAGCAGAGATATTGTCATTTATAGGAACCATCTTGGCTTCTTAAAAGAAAATTAACTTTGCCCACTTCCAATTCCTCTCTTTAAGTATTGCTCAGTGAAGAGGAAACAACAGAACTACCTGTTCTGTACAGGTAGCAAGAAAATATAATGTAAGTAATCTTCTCATTTTGGTAATTTTTACCAAACGAATGGTTAGTTACTGTCAAGAGGGCGAAAGTGTGATAAGGTGTGTTCAAGAATGGCCATCAGCCTTTATAGAAGAAATAAAAATGTAAAACTTAACTAAAAATTAACCAGGCTTTATTGTACAAGCTGAGCGGAACATGCAAAGGAACCACAAGCACCGTGAGGGAGAGAACAAGCCTCTCTCTTCATGCGTGTCTGCTCAGTGGCCTCCATCGGCTTCATTTTATGTTGTGCTTCCACAATATCCCACTTGGGATTTAAAACCAGGGATCACCTCTGATGCAAAGGAATAATTCTGTGATGCTCATTTGGCAATAGGGAACTCTGCTGCGGATGCATAAATTGAGCACCACATCTGTTGCAGCAGAAATGATTTTATCTTGCTTGTTGGGGGTAAGGCAGAAAATACCCTACAGGCTACCAAAGAAGATCATGCTCTTAATGCTTCTCTGCTTGGATACCTTAAGGTTTGCTTCGTTGCAACCCTGAAACATCCTGCCCAGGTTCAGCCTCCTTACTCAATGGCTTTGTGATCAGTTTTTAAAATCTGCTTAACGAACCAGTTGTAAACTTGGGTCTAAAATGGATTAAAATAATTTTGGAACATCTAATTTAGGGTGAGGAACATGGGTCTGAAGTAAGGAGTCATCTGTTTAACAAGCGATTGATGTAGGTTGAGCTTTTCCAACTTAGAAGTGGTCTCGCTGTCGTGTTCTCCTCAGGGAGCACATGTAAATGGCACCTCCCTTTTGTGCTGATTTGATCCTTGTTGGCTTATGGGATGTTTTCATCACTGTTGCCTCAGCTGTATCCTCCCCATGGTTGTCTATCTGACCTAGCACTGACAAAACAGGCAGACTCTGTGTTTACATTTTTCATGTTGCCTTTGCTGGATACAAGCTCACTCTAGAAAGGAACGGGCGGCCAACACCAAAAACCAACAACACAAAAAAGGTGAAGAAATGTGGTTTTAGCTTTGTGGCTGTTGCAGAAGCAGCAATGAGGGGCGTGAGCAGGGGTGATGCAGTTGTGTTAAATACAAACCCAAGGAAGTTGCTGTAACAGAGCTCTGTGTGTAATATTTATTTACACTTGACACCTATTGCTAGTATTTCAGTGTTTAAAGTTTTAAGAGGCAGCACTGAGTTGTGTGGTCTCCATTGGTGTTACCAATGAGCTAGAAAGCAAAGTTTCTACCTAAGTCATTGCCTGGGATGGTTTATGTGACCAAATTTATGCTGAATCGCGTTCACTTTAGGATACATTGTGTAGCCTGGGTTTCCTTGATTGTGCTTTAAAATGTCTTCCTTTTAATATGGCTATATGTTGTTAACTGTCGATTTGCTTTATGATAGAAGTATTTCTGAGTGAGGGGAAATGATTCCCTCATGCCTTAGAGCAGTATAAGCTAACCTGATCCTGACTTTCATCAGAGCTGTTCCAGTCACGTTTCCAGTTGAGCAGGTTCAAAATCCTCATTTCAGATGAGCTGTTTCACAGGGGAAAATATGACCATAATATACTCCCCTCTACAGTCAGGAGATTAAACCAATCTTCTAAATCAATAAGTTACTTATAAACACCAGGATTTACAACAGGCATCACACAGGCTGTGCTTTATCTAAATGTCACCCATTTTTCTCATGAGGTTGACTGTGGGAACTCTACCACACTGACAAAAGTAAAAACTATGGTTTTCCTCTTTCAGCCCCTTCATCTCAGCCCTTTAAGACAACGTGACTTTGTAGATCTTAATGTGTTTATGGTGACCTATAGTAGGCAGACCACTTTAGAGGCAGACAGATGTGAAAAATGAACTGTGTTCTGCAGTGTTCTAACCACAGCGTATCATGACTGTGTTTTCTGAGACTGGGACAGAGAATTTTTTTCTCTTTATTTTGGAGAGCTGTTATCATCAGCAGAAGAATCATGTTCAGCTCCTTGAGGGACGCAGGTTTACTTGAAGTGAAAAATTATGCTTTACCAAAGGCCACTGTAAACCGTTTATTGCCCTAACAGGAGATGTTACACTTCCCCTTAGAAAGCTCTGCTTTGGGAGCAGTGATGTAGAGTTTAAGGTTCAGAATCATGCTTGGAAATGCAGGTCTGCCTACTCTGAAGTCTGTGTGTGGAGCCCTGAAATGTGCTGTAGGAATCAGTGGCACTGTGCTAGTTTATCTGCAGGGTTTGAATGCTGAGGTGAAAGAGATAAACCATGCTGAAATGATTAATGTAATCACTGCAGGGAGTAGGAATATACAATGTGTTATTCCTTGAAAAAGCAGATTTAAGTTGATTCTTTAGTTATTTTCTTTACATACAGAATGGATAAGTGACTGGGCAGACTTCAGCTAGTGCTCAGTCAGTGTTATCTTATTCATGCCCTGAACTTCTTGCGTTGAGACTCTGGGACCATGTAAGTCTATTAATTTTCTTTATGAAGTTTCCCCTCTTTGCACTGCTGGTGGGGGGACAATCTCTGCCCTTGAGTGAATGGGCTAGTCAGTTGTGTGTGATCATGTACCTCATGTAAACAAAGCAGAAGCTTTATATTGAGGATTATCAAAGGTACTAGTCACTGTCATTGTGGGTGTGTTCTTTTCAAACTGCTGTTATATATTCCTAAATCAGTTGATGTCCTTCTTAGCGGTAGAGTAGATGAAGATGACTTTGTGGGCTTCTTTATTATTAAGTACCCTCAGAGTTCTTTCACCTTCTATTAAGAGCTTAAGGAATATGCCAGGTGGTGTTCTTTAGGTAAGAGTGTTAACACTGGCATCGGATACTCGTCTAAAACCTTCTCAACCCTGCTTGTGAAAGTTGCATAGAACTGGAGAGTGGGGTTTGGGAACGGTGACAAGGGCTACCTTTTGAGAAGCTTGCCAGGTCATTTCCAGATATCATCTCTCCTCATTAGCAATATGACCCCTTCACTTCATGTAAGCCAAAAATACTCCCCTTCATCAGTGGACTGACATGAGGGATCAGCTTGTTCCAGAACACCTATGCCCCATATTCTTTGTTTATGCAGCATGTGTTTTGGGAAGTTCTTAGAAATGGTGACAGCAGGTTTGAGATTAAGAACTTCCAGAATTTAGTTACATATTTCACATGCTGCTTTAAAAGCTACTCTGATAAAACCACCTGTACTCATCCTATAAATTAATCCTGACTGGAGCAGAGTTGCTGTATTGTAAGTATTCATGGTGAAGGGTCATTTTGAAGCAAGGATGCTGCGTTCAAAGTGCAGTATCAGTCAGGACATTGTTACTGAGCCTCTTACCTTGCTTAAGTCAAATGCTTGATATAGTCACAAGCTTTTAAGCTCTGTGTAAGATGCACTTTTAAATTCCACCTCGACAACCTTGAAGACGTGCAGAAAGAGTGCTGAGCTGTTCTTCTTTCAAAGATGCATTTCTTTTGCCCGTAAACCTTTAGTAGTGGCGGTGGGAGAAGGCCTTGGTTGAAATTAAGGTTTTGGTGTCCTCAGGGCTACATGTGAATTACAGGAAGAAAAGGCACATTCTTTTTAGACAGAGATTTATGTGCAGAGATGACTTTTTTTGCTCTGCTCCTGGCTATTTTGGTGTCTCTGCAGGTCACAAGCTTTTAATGCTCTCTGTGGCCCTGGCTGTGTGGGGTGTCACTTCAGAGGTGTGGTGACAGTGGTCACATTTTGCATTTAGAAAAAGAACACATTGTTTATATAATTTCTGTTTACCATTTAATCTGCATGTTTTGTTGTAGTTGTTTTGTGTTTTGACACAGAAAACAGATGTTACTTTCTGGCTTAAATATAACTTGGATTTCATAATCGCAAGTTTTGATGGGTTTCTGAAGTAGGGAAGAGGGAACTTGTTTGTCCTCAGAGTGCCCATTCTTGGGAACTTCTGCATGGT